AGGAGTGTGCTGCTGCTATGACAGGTGGCGGAAGAACTGCCCAGGCTGACAGCAGAGCTGTGCAGAGGGCCCCAGCCCAAGCTGGGTGGCAGGCAGATGCTCCTTGCTCCCACGGCTCTGAGTGGTCCTGCATGGCCCAAGTTCCTGCTCACTGCTCACGCTTTGCTCAAGCAGGCGGCCCCTGTGCTGCTTGCAGTCTAGGACCTGCTGGCCTTTCCTCTGGCCACAGCCTATCATAGCACACCAGGGGCAGTTATGTATTCCTCTCACCCCACCCCACCTGGAGGGAGAGGCCCATGTTTGCACTGCTTTCATCATCTTTCCTTCTCTGCATTCTCTCCAGCTCAGCTTCCACCACATGTACCCAGAGCTCTGGGCTCTGCTAGAGGTGAAATGGTCATCCTGAGGCATACAGCCTGAGATGAGCTGACCCTCTCTCCATGCACCAGGCTCAGGCCACCTGAAAAGACAAGGTAGGAGAGACCCTTGCAGGTCTGTGGGCCAGGAAAGCTCTGCTGCATGAGGACTAACTGTGTTTACAACACTGAACATTCCTGGGCTTTGTCTTCTTTTTATGTTGTTTCTACTGTGTTGGTTTTTGTTTTTTGTTTTTTTTGAGGTGGAGTCTCACTCTGTCACCAGGCTGGAGTGCAGTGGCGCAATCTCAGCTCACTGCAACCTTCGCCTCCCAGGTTCAAGCAATTCTCCTGCCTCAGCCTCCCGAATAGCTGGGATTACAGGCGCACACCACCACACCCAGCTAATTTTTGTATTTTTAGTAGAGACAGGGTTTCACCATGGTGGCCAGAATGGTCTTGATCTCCTGACCTCATGATCTGCCTGCCTCAGCCTCCCAAAGTGCTGGAATTACAGATGTGAGCCACCGCGCCCGGCCTGTGTGTTCTTTAAGAGGTTTCAAATCATTTTGAGGGACTTAGTGGACACAAGTAAGTACATTATAAATATCTGTCAAGTCTAGGACTGCTGAATTCACAGGCCCTGGGCTAGAGGGGGCTTCCCTGACTGGTCAGATGCTTTGAGTCTGTTCCCTTAGAATTGTTCCCTCCCAAGCAACAGCCACAGTGACTTGTGCTCATCCTGGAAAAGTGAATACTGCCCGGAGCTCCGGAGACAGTAAAAGGAAGGAAAGGACCCTCTCCTCATCCCTGCTAATGTCCCAGACTCTTCAGGCCTGGGGGCAGGGAGGTATTTTTGGGACTGGGAATCTGTGACTTACAGAGATTATGCAAAAATAGGAGGGGAAATTTGGCACCGCTATCAGAAAGAGAGAGTGTGGCCTTGTACTGTCTGATTCACAAAGGCTTGGCAGGTCACAAGAGGAAGACATGAGCTGTTACACAGGTAGGGGCTGGGGTGGACAGCAGGCTCGGCTCGGCTGGTGACTCCTCACCATTCCTTGGGTTATGAGCCAGCTGTCTATGGGCTCCAGGTCATACTCCCCACCTCTACCTTTCTTCTGGGCCGAGGATAGAAAAGTCTCAGAAAGAAAAGTCACAGCAAGACCCATGAGAAAGAAGTCAATAGCACATATTGTGGAAACAGAAAAGTCACTCTTCAGACGTGACCCTTTGCCACGTAAGGAAATCTGATGCCCTGCTCCCAACCTCCACCCCTGGCATGTCCCCCTTACCTGCCTGGAAAAAAGAAGAAAAGTTTAGTAACCAAGAATCCCAACAGGATAACATACACTCATGCCAACTACTCCCGTGCCCTTGGAAAATCTCCCGGAGATCACAGGTTGACCAGAGCTGCTTCTCTCGATTACGGCTATCAGGGTTGGCAGGCGGTCAACTTTTCAAAGAACCAGCTTTTACAGAAGCATTTCTACTTTTTTCTTTTTCCTGCATTTTTTCTTTTATTTTTTTTCTCTTTTCTAGTGGCTTGTGTATTCTTTTTCTAAACTCTTGAATACTAAATTTAGATGTATTCTTCATTGCCTTTTAAAATATTTATTTATTTGAGGTGAGGTCTCACTATGTTGCCTAGACAGGGTCTCAAAATATCCTGGGTGCAAACAAAGCAATCCTTCTGCCTCAGCCTCCCAAGTGGCTGGGATTACAGGTGCCCGCCACCACACCTGGCTATTTTTTTTTTTTTTTTTTGAGACAGAGTCTAGCTCTGATGCCAGGCTGGAGTGCAGTGGCACAATCTCGGCTCACTGCAACCTCTGCCCCCCAGGTTCAAGAGAGTCTCCTGCCTCAGTCTCCCAAGTAGCTGGGATTACAGGCACATGCTGCCACACCCAGCTAATTTTTGTATTTTTAGTAGAGACGGGGTTTCACCATGTTGGCCAGGATGGTCTTGATCTCCTGACCTTGTGATCCACCTACCTCAGCCTCTCAAAGTGCTGAGATTACAGGCATGAGCCACTGTGCCCAGCCCTGATTTTTGTATTTTTATTAGAGACAGGGTTTCACCATCTTGGCCAGGCTGGTCTTCAGCTCCCACCTCAGCCTCCCGAAGTGCTGGGATTACAGGTGTGAGCCACTGCGCCCAGCCCTGGGATGACCTTTTCTTGACTGACTTGGTTGGATTTGATTTGTGGAGGTGTGGCTACATAAGTTTCTTCCCTTTATTTACTTATTTATTTATTTATTTATTTATTTTATTTTTGAGATGGAGTTTCACTCTTCTTGCCCAGGCTGGAGTGCAATGGCGTGATCTCGGCTCACCGCAACCTCCGCCTCCCGGGTTCAAGCAATTCTCCTGCCTCAGCCTCCTGAGTAGCTGGGATTACAGGCATGTGCCACCATGCCCAACTAATTTTGTATTTTTAGTACAGATGGGGTTTCTCCATGTTGGTCAGGCTGGTCTCGAACTCCCAACCTCAGGTGATCTGCCCGCCTCAGCCTCCCAAACTGCTGAGATTACAGGCATGAGCCACCACGCCCAGCCTTCCCCTTTTCTATTGTGTTCTTAAGTTCTCCCTTGGCCTCGTTTTCATTTCTAGGTCAGTATGGCTTGGGATGGGACAAGGTAACCTGAAATGCTGCAGGTGGGCAAGAATATGTGTAGACACACACAGCCCACATGCTCTGCTGCCCTGTATTGCTGAGGCTGTGGCCATGGCATCACCCCATTGAGCAGTAAACATGAAAAGCAATCTGATGGCTGGGTGCAGTGGCTCACACCTGTAATCCTAGCACTTTGGGAGGCCAAGACAGGCGGAGTGCCTGAGGTCAGGAGTTCAAGACCAGCCTGGCCAACATAGTGAAAACCCGTCTCTACTAAACATAATTAGCTGGGTGTAGTGGTGGGCACCTGTAATACCAGCTACTCAAGAGGTTAAGGCAGGAGAATAGCTTGAACCTGGAAGATGGAGGCTGCAGTGAGCCAAGATCATGTCACTGCACTCCAGCCTGGGCGATAGAGCGAGACTCCATCTCAAAAAAAAAAAAAAAAAAAAAGCAATCTGCCTACCACTGGGTGGAAAACCTGCTGGAGTCATCGGGACCTTTGAAAATGGGGAGCTAGTCCAAGCCACACACGCAAAGGGCGAAGGGCAGGAAGTCACTCACATCTCCTGGGCTCAGACCCAGGCCTGGGCACTGATAATGGCAGGGGTGCAGCAGGACACGCCCTGGCATGGACAAAGCAGGCCCTGGAGCCAGAGTGAGGGACAAATGAGGTCAGTCTCGTAGGGACACAACAGGGCTGCTCCCAGTGCAAGCCAGGGTTGGCCAGCACGAGGGGATGTCCTCACCAGGCAGTATCCTGGTAGGCCCCTAGCTGGGCTCTCTAATGCCCACCCTGGGGGCAGGTGGGAGGACATTCTAAGTAATGGGAGAATCAGAGCCATGAGCACTGCATTGATTTTGGGTGTCCCAGTCTCAGGGGTTCAGGTGGCACTGCCCACTCCTGTGGAAAAGCAGGGCACTGAGGACCCAAGGCAGCCAGCTGACTCTTCTGCGCCCTCTGGTGACCAGTGCAGAGGGATGCATGCCCTCAGATCCACCAGGCAAAGGCCAGCAAGGATGAGGGAGTCCCTTCCCCCAAGAAGGAGCATCCCCTGGAAACCAGCACTGCTGCCTGCCTGGGTCCACTGGACAAGGACTTTAGAAGGCTAAAAATTGGTACCTAGGAAGCAAACAGCCCTTTGCAAACCTTCCTGTCCAGTGGACAGATGATCACTGCCCTCTCTAGCCCAGCTGGGGGACCCAGACAGGACTTCCAGCTGTTGTGGGCAGCTATTCCAAGGGCCCTCCTCCTCCCTGCCCCTGCAAACAGACATGCATCCATACGCATTTCTTAGTTAGGCAAAAAGAAAAATATCATGAGAAGCATTAAGACACACATCCTTTCCCCTTTAGTACTCTGAAATTGTACAGAAAGCATGGCTATGTTTTGGGGGGGCCCAAACACATACCATTCCCTCCACTTCACTGTGCTGCACCCCCTCACCGCCACAGAACACCCTCCCAGCCACCACCCAACTACGCCAGCTCTGTAAACAAACGCTGGCTCTCGAGTGCCTTCTAATGGGGTTGGTACTGCTCTGCTAGGCCAGCAGCAAATGGCCATCAGAGATGTGGCCCGGGTCAGCATTGTCCCTCCTGGTGCAGGCCATGGTTTTATCAGGGCACTGACCACCACCCTGGGACACTGTAACAGGTGACCATAGGAGACTTGTGCCTGGAGAACTTGGGGCCACTGTGGTAGGACGAGCAGGTGTTCTGGAGCTGGACACTCCTAGGATTCGAACCCTGGCTTGCTGTCTGCTCTCTGGGTGTCTCAGCCTGTCTCCCACCTCCCTGGGACTGTTTCCTCCTGGGTGAATTGGGAATTTCATGTGTGGCATCACCTCACAGGGTGAGGTGAAGACTCAATGAGGCACTACCTGGGTTCCACGGGTCTCTCCCCTGGGGTGTATCTGCCCCCTGTGCAAGCCAGTTTCTGCTGAATTACCCAGCCAGCTTTGCCAAACCACCTGGCTTTCCCTCCAGAAGACTCCAGGCAAAAACACAGGGTTAAACACCTACCCCTTCTGAGCTCTGTTTTCGACTGTCTAGGGCAGAAGCAAGTCCTCCGACAGCCTGAGGATCCTCATAGGTTACCCTGGAGATGAAGAAGCAGCACGAGCAGAGTTAATTTTCCTCCAGTGGTCATGGAGGGCTTGTAATCACTTCTGTCCTATGGTCCTTCCTCAGATGTCCTTGGAAAAACATTTCCTGAGACCTTGACATTGAGCAGAGGCTAAGGGCTCATGTTGTCTGTCTCCCTGCAGTGGACGCTAGGAGGCCTGGGTCCTAGCTCAGGCTGAGCCACTAATCTCTGCGATCTTAGATTTTGTGCACCTAAATATCCCTGTCTTGAGTAACAATACTGAGCATCTCTGAAGCTCAATGTCAGGGTGTCCAAAGTACCCTAATACTCCTCAAAGGGAAGACCAGATAAACACAAAGTAACATTAATTCTTATTTTAAAAGCAGCAGCCTCAGTGGCATTTGACAGGGAAGGTAGTCTCTGGGACCTGGGACTGTCACTGATTAGTGTCTGCAGCAGCAGCAGCATAGGGAAGAAAGAGAAAAGCGGTCTCTTACAACTGACAGGAGAAATCCTACTCCAACCAACCCCAAGGGCAGGAAAGTTTGTGTGGGGGGGAGGGGGCAGTGGGCAGTTGGTGTTAATTCAGTATCTGCATCTAATACCGAGTCCTCACAGCCATGCTTTAAAGTTCCTGGCAGTCCTGGACATGGTAAATAAATGACTTTTTGTGCTGGCCTATGACCAGGCATGGGTCAATCCCCCCAATATCTTTAGAAAGCCACTAGAAGGGGCCCCACATACGTCTTGCGCTGCTCAGCCAAGGAGTTTCCTCTTGTCTGGGCAAACATGTCAAAGCTGTCACGGGGATTACATTGCTGGAGTGAACTGAGGGTACCACTGACGCTCTCTGTCCCCAAGTCTGTGGCAACAAAACAAATGGGTGGCAGATGAGAACAAAATGTAGACTGTAGACCTGATGAAGGGCCCGTGAGCTAGGACGCCAGCCAGGCAGGTTTAGGGTTCATGGGGAGGGTAGGGCGGGACTTTTCCTTGGTACTCCCAGTGCACCACATGCCGGAGGAGCCAGGGTGGGCCAGATGGGGGACGGGACAGCCACTGCCCCCCCAAACTGCTCAAGGAGGCAAAAGGGTCATAACAAAAGGGAGACTGCTGGGGTGACAAGGCAGGGACTGGCGCCAGTGCACCTGCAGATTTTCCATAATGCCCTTCTCGTTTGGGCTCCTCATTAACTCAATCACAATGTCCAAGGACCTGGGACATCTATTTATTCAGCAAATATTTCTTATGCACCCACCATGTTCAGAGCTAGATCTTGAGTAGACCAAATTGAATCTGATATGGTCCTCAGCTTCAAGAAGTTCAGAGTGGGTGAGAGACAAGCCACAGCAGTGCTTAGCTTGAGACATCAGGAAAGACTCAAAACCAACACAAGTGGGGGTCTGTAAGGATAAGGGGGAGGATGCTATGGGGAGAAGGGGAAAGGCAGATAGAAAGGCACAGGGTTTGGAGGCCAGGTTGTGTGAAGTGAACAGTGCTCGCAGGAAGAGATTTGTGGAGGAAGTGGCTGGTAATATCTCAAATGCCAAGTAAAGGAGTGGGTGGGAAGACACTAGACTTTTTTTTTTTTTTTTTTAAAGAGACAGAGTCTTACTCTCTTGGCATGATCATGGCTCACTATAGCCTTGACCTCCCAGGCTCAAGTGATCCTCCCACCTTGGCCTCCCAAGTAGCTAGGACTAGAGGCGTGTGCCACCGTGCCCAGCTGTTTTAAAATTATTTTGTAGAGACAAGGTCTCGTTATGTTGCCCAGGCTGGTCTCAAACACCTGGCCTCAAGTGATCTTCCCACCTCAGCCTCCCAAAGTGATGGGATTGCAAGTGTGAGCCACCACCCCTGGCGGACACTACACATTTTTTTTTTTTTTTTTTTTGAGACAGGGTCTCACTGTGGGTGCCCAGGCTGGAGTGCAGTGGCACGATCTCAGCTCACTGCAGCCTCGACCTCCTAGGCTCAGTAGATTCTCCCACTGCAGCCTCCTGAGTACCTGGGACTACAGGTGTGTGCCACCACTCCCAGATAATTTTTTGTATTTTTAGTAGAGATGAGGTTTTGCTATGTTGCCCAGGCTGGTCTTGAACTCCTGGACTCAAGCAATCTGCCTGCCTTGGCTACCCAGAGTGCTGGGATTACAGGCGTGAGCCACTATGCCTGGCCTACTAGACCTTTTTTAAGAAGAGAGGTAGCAGAATCCAATTTGAATTTTTTTTTTTTTTTTTTGAGATGGCATCTTGCTCTGTTGCCCAGGCTGGAGTGAAGTGGCACGATCTTGGCTCACTGCAATTTTTAGTAGAGATGGGGTTTTGCCATGTTGGCCAGGCTGGTCTCGAACTTCTGACTTCAGGTGATCCACCCGCCTCGGCCTCCCAAAGTGCTGGGATTACAGGCGTGACAATTTGAATTTTACGTATTAAATCTGGCCATCATGTATGCTGGACTGACCGAAGGCACAGACATCTGTTCCGATACAGAAATAGTGGCTACAAATATATGAAATATTGACAAGCTAGAATTACAGCAACTGATAGCCACTAGAAGTTTAACTCAAGTCAAATGAAAGGAAGGTAGACAGAGAAATTTTTTTTTTTTTTTTTTTTTTGAGACGGAGTCTTGCTCTGTCACCCAGGCTGGAGTGCAGTGGCCAGATCTCGGCTCACTGCAAGCTCTGCCTCCCGGGTTCACGCCATTCTTCTGCCTCAGCCTCCCGAGTAGCTGGGACTACAGGCGCCCGCCACCTCGCCCGGCTAGTTTTTTGTATTTTTTAGTAGAGACGGGGTTTCACCGTGTTAGCCAGGATGGTCTCGATCTCCTGACCTCATGATCCACCCGTCTCGGCCTCCCAAAGTGCTGGGATTACAGGCTTGAGCCACCGCACCCGGCCGAGAAATATTTTTTAAAAAGGAAAGCAGAAAACAAGACAGAGGAAAGAATTTTGAGGGCCGTGCTTATTCTTTCAATGTTATAATTTCATTTGTTATAAATTGGTATCATTCAGTATAACCAATGCGCTAGAGTCATATACACACTTTGAATGTACAAACTAAATGAACTGTGGAAAGTAGAAAGTGGTGAGTTTCTTTTAAGTTCCAGACAATGGACTGCTTTAGGCTGATGGTACAGTTCAAGGAGAGCAAATATTTCAGTGCTGCTACCTCCTGTTTCCAAGCCCTCTGTAGATATCAACAATCAATCACAGACTTTTCTTTTTTTTTTTTTTTGAGACGGAGTCTCGCTCTGTCGCTCTGGCTGGAGTGCAGTGGCCGGATCTCAGCTCACTGCAAGCTCCGCCTCCCGGGTTCACGCTATTCTCCTGCCTCAGCCTCCCGAGTAGCTGGGACTACAGGCGCCCGCCACGTCGCCCGGCTAGTTTTTTTTTTTTTTTTGTATTTTTTAGTAGAGACGGGGTTTCACCATGTTAGCCAGGATGGTCTCGATCTCCTGACCTCGTGATCCGCCCGTCTCGGCCTCCCAAAGTGCTGGGATTACAGGCTTGAGCCACCGCGCCCGGCCAATCACAGACTTTTCTAAGCCCTGATGTGGCTTCAGCATCCTCCTCAAACCTGTGTTCCAAGAAGCCAGTGAGCTGAAACCTATCTGCCCTCCTTGACCTAGTTAATATTGATTGTTTGTTTTGTTTTGTTTTGTTTTTGAGATGGAGTCGTCCCCCAGGCTGGAGTGCAATGGCGCGATCTCAGCTCACTGCAACCTCAGCCTCCGGGGTTCAAGCAATTCTCCTGCCTCAGCCGCCCAAGTAGCTGGGACTACAGGTACCCACCACTAAGTCTGGCTAATTTTTTTGTATCTTCAGTAGAGACAGGGTTTCACTACTTTGGCCAAGCTGGTCTCGAACTCCTGGCCTCAAGTGACCCACCAACCTCAGCCTCCCAAAATGCTGGGATTATAAGCCCGGGCTTGACCTAGTTAATACTGAAAAGGAAATTACTTCAATCATAGAGAATGTTCCATATAAAACATGGCAGGTGACCTTTCTTTTCTTTTTTTTTTTTTTGAGACAGTGTCTTGCTCTGTCGCCCAGGCTGGAGTACAATGACGCGCGATCTCAGCTCACTGCAACCTCCACCTCCCAGGCTCAAGCAATTCTCCTGCCTCAGCCTTCCAAGTAGTTGGGATTGCAGGCACTCACCATGCCCAGCTAATTTTTGTATTTTTACTAGAGACTGGTTTCGCCACGTTGGTCAGGCTGGTCTCAAACTCCTGACCTCAGGTGATCCACCCACCTCGGCCTCCCATAGTGCTGGGATTACAGGTATGAGCCGCCACACCCGGCCGTGACCTTTCTTTAATTCCTTGAAATTTCCCCCATCCCTGCTTTCCAACACAGATTTTAAACTTCAAATTTAGGGGGAAAAAAGGTATGCATTGAAGGTAAGGTGGTACAACTGGCTAGGACTCAGGAATACACTTTCACATGTATTCCCAAAAGACTCTCTTTGGGTCTTCCAAGAAAGAAAGAGAGGTAGCCTGCAAGGGAGGCCAGTGGTAGGAAGTAAGTAGGCCCTTTTGTCCCTATGAGACACTCACCCAAGCCTGCAAGCTGGGAGGAGAGGGAAGATGGGGGCGCTGTGTTCCCCACCATCGGGCTCACCACGGCTGGAGACCCTGGCCCCAGGTCTATTAAGTTGTCTTCAGTCACTTCGTTCAGTACCTGTCAGAATGTGAGATTGGTCATGAGCCCCAGAACCCTGGAGTCAGGCTCTGAGGTAGAAGCTAGCAAGGCAACTGTGCAGGGTTCTGAGAAGAAAAGCATCAGCACTGCTCCAGTACAGAAGCAAGGTCACTTTCCCCATCTGCCTTCCGGGTCCATGGTGGCCCTTGATGTCAGTGAGCCCTGCCCACTGCCTCCTCCCCCTCCCCAGTAGAAGGAGGGGTTGCTGAGTCAACAGTGACTGTCCTGGGAGCTACAGACTTAAGAGCTTCCTTGCCACCCTCCCATCAGGGGTGCCTGCTAGCTCTGCCCTAGTATCCCATCAACCAAAGCTTGCTCTTCAATTTCCCAAATATTTCAACCCCAGTTAGAAAAACTGGAGGTCTCTCCAACCTCCAAAACGTGGAGGGGTAGGTCTGGCCTCAGGAGATGAGAGGATTCTGAAGGAATACTTACTCCATTACTGGCATTTTGAACCGATCGGCCAGACCTGTATCGTTCGAACCTAACGGGGGAAGGGAAAGCAGAAGTAAGGAGAGAGGATGCCTGTGATATGGGCCTGTGGGGTGCTCACTAGTCCTATGAAGAACCTCTGGGACCAAGACCAGCCAGTCCTAGTTGGGGGCTAGGGAGTGAAACCATATATCAACTCTGCCACGGCTTCCTCTGTGTGTGTGGCTCCCCCTGAGAGGATCAGCCTCTCACCCAGAACCCTGAATGAGCATCAGAAAGGGGTGGTGGCTGGCCCATCATGGAGGTCATTGTGAGTGTCCCCAGCCTCTCCTCACATACCTGGGCCCAGAGAGCCCCTCTTGTCCCTAGAGGGAGGATGGCTTAACCACCTTACCTTGGAGCTCTCCAATGTTTACAACGTCAGGCAGTAGCTGCAGACTCCCTACTTCACAGGGCTGTGCTGAGAAGCGCCCAGCTAGTGTTCCTAACATGCTCCCAACTGAATCTCTGGGGAAAGGGGTTGGGGCATGCATAGGGTGGGCACCAGTAGGAGGAAGGTAGATGCATGGCCCTGACTGTGGCCTGGGGAAATGCTCGCCAGTAGCTGCTACAGAGAGGCCTGGGCCAATCATCGAAGGACTGCTAGAAGGGTGGAGTGAGTGTCTTCCGCACCCAATCGGGCAGTGCAGGGGGACTTGGCTTTGAGCAACTGTCGAAGGCCAGGTCATCCTTATGTCAGGTGGGGAATGGAAGAGTAGTAATGAGGTGTGTGTTGGGATGGGGCAGAACAGATTATGTTCTGCATCATATTTAAAAACTCCAAATGCCACGGGCAGCGGTAGCTAAGAGACTTTCCAGCTGGAGCCTTAGACACCCAGCTTTAGTGAGTTATGCCGCTCCACTTCTGTCTCCCAACTTGCTGGGGTCAGCATCTGGTGACAAGGGATCCCCAGGAGGAATGATCTGGGTAGGCAGTGAGTGTCCCCTGTGGTTTTAAAAAAGACTTGTGTGTTTTTTCAACAGTGGTCTACAAGGAGAACAGGAATATTAATACATCTGAAACAATTTTAATCCTGGGGTAACTTTCCCACACTCATCTTCAATGAACAATGACTATCATCAAAGACACTCTAACCAGGATAGCACTTCTAGCCACCAGCCCTGGCTTTGCCTCTGAATTCTTTGTAATGCTGGGACTGGGGGACTGTTGGGTGAAAATACCCATATTAGTTAGCTCCTGTTATGCTTTCTAGCAGGGCTTAAATAGATTTAACAGGTTAAATGCAAGCCCATTTACCATGGAGAAACTGGAACCACATGGCAAGACAAAGGGGCCTCGGGCAGGGAGTCAAGTCCCCTCAGATCTGCTCCTGTTCTTCAACTGATGCACTGGGGGTCCCAGGGACCCCCCACACTTACTGCAGAGGTTTCTTCGCCTGTCAGGTGGGCACAGAGCCACTGGTGTGTACTTCCATAATCAAAAGATGAGACAAGGCCCAAGGCTGTGACGGCCACAACAAAACCACTCTTTAGGCCCCCAAAGGGTAATGCAAACGCAAGCATCTGTCCCTCTGACCCTAACTGACGCCAGATCCTCGTCCTCCTGATGAATCCAGCAGTAGGGTGTGAGTCAGCTGGTTGGCAGAGGGGACCAGGACCTCAGGTCTGCAGGGGACTCAAGCCACTGTCCTGTCCTCTCAAGCCTCATCTTTAAGGGGAAAAGGCTGGCCTGATCATGGTCCTTTCTGGTCCTTATGCTGAGTCCTTCGTGAAAGCCCAGTGTGCTCCCATCAGGTGATGAGATGGGAACAGTGCTTGCCATTATTCCTCCTATTTAAAACTAGGTCTAAATAAGACATTTTGGGCTTTGTCCTGAAGGAAGGCTTTGGAAATAAAAAAGAATTTGCAGGTTTGTTACCTCAAACCCAAAAATGATTTGGCTGCAGAAAGAACTGAAATGAATGTGTGCACGCTTCCCTAAGCAGCAGCATTCCGGCACTTACACCCGCCTGCTTCCCCTGAATGCTCTAGATAACACTGACATTTGCAAAGGGAAAAGCTTTTTTCCTTTCTTTCTTTTTTTTTTTTTTTTAAGATGGGAAAGAGGAAATCCTTTTTCTTAGTAGAGATTTTTTTTTCCCTTTAATCCTTTTCAAATTCAAAGGATCATCAAAGGAGCAGGTGCAGCAGCTCTGGGACCCAGAGCCCCCCAAGTGCTACCCCTCCCTGGGGCTGGGGGCGGCGGGGCAGTGGGGAAAGGCAGAGCAGCCTGAGGCTTACAAAGGGCAGAGCCTAATTCTGCACGTCAACTTCCTGCTGCTTCTGCTGCTCGGTTCCCAGGAGGACAAGAAGCATTTTCCCTGTCAGCCGGGAACAAATTAGCATCTCTGATGAGTATTTTCCAACTCTAATCTCTCTCCCTCTCCCTCTCTTTCCTTTGTTTATGAAAGAAATCCCTCTGTTATGGCAACAATCTTTTCAAGGGGAAAAAAAAAGAAAGAAATCCGGCTCCCACCTCTCATATCGAAGGAAGACATTGTTGAGGTCGTCGTTCACATGCAGCAGCTCCTCGGTGACCTCCTCGTTGGACACGCGGGAGATGAGCTCCACGATGCGCTGCTGCATGGCCCGGCAGGTCCTGTTCAGCTCCTAGGGAACACATGCACCTCTGGGTAGCCTGCTGGGTGTGCTTTTTGTCACATTCTATTTCCTTTGAAAAAATTTGTACTGATTCTTAAAAGTCACAAAAGGAGTACATGCTTGTTCATGAAACCAGACATGTGCCGAATTCAAAGTAGAAGTTCCCTCTTCACAGCCTGCCCATCCTTCCCCAGAGGAAGCAAGTACTTTTTCAGCAGACAAATGTCCAGACAGACATACTGTTGTATGTATACAAGTACATGCTTGTACAAATCATTAAAAAATATTAAAATGTGATTCTTTGCAGATTGCTTTTTCTCAACAAAATATTCCAGACACCGTTCCCCATCACTTGGTACAGACTGCCTCATTCCTTTGTGTGTTTCATAATGTATCTCGCCATTCTTCTATTGTTGGACATTTAGGTTGTGGTCTCTCTTTCTGTGGCCAACCCAAATAATGCAGCAATGAACACCTGTACACAAACATGCATATGCACTTGGGCTAGCACTTCCATAGGAGGAGTTCCTTAGGAGGGAAATTTCTAGGTGAAAGGGTATGGTCATTTATAACATCAATTAGTAATAGTAAAAGGCACTCCAGAAAGATGACATCAGTCTACTTACACTCCCAGCAATAGCAGGAGTGTATTTTATGACTGCATTAGGTATATTTTGGTGGCGTGTCTGCCACTTTGCCGAGGCCTCAGAAGCCCAGGCAGCTCCCTGGCTGGCCAAAAGAGGACATTCGCACACCCCAGTTGCCACTGGAGCCCTCTCTACCCTTAGAAGCAACAACCCCCTGATAACAGCGCCTTAGCACTTTATGGCCTGGCTTCCATGAACCTTCCCTGTTCCAGAACAGCAGACTTACTGATGCCCTTGTTCAAATTTGCTTATAGAGCTCCCTCAATTCCTGCCAGGCCCCTTGCCATCTCGATGCCAGACTGAGGATGCTACAGAGGAGGGAGCTGGCAACCCTGCCAGGCTGGCCCCCAAGCATCCCTGACTACAGGAACTGCCTGTGACCAAAGCGCCAAGTCCCAGTGTGCCATACAGGGTTAAAGCAGAGGGAGATGCTGTCCCCACCTACCTGGGCACTGGAGGGTGCCAGTGAGTTAAGAGGATAAGACATGAAAGATAAGTCCCTCGTTCTCACAGCTCAGTTTCAAAACAACTTCATTTTGAAACCGTTTCTGGTAGAAGTGACTGATTTATTCACAGGAGACATGGTAATCTCTTTTTAGTTCCTCATATTGTCTCATAATCTGGCTAGCTTGGCTAAAGGGTCTTCCTTCCTACCACATCATAAACTCTTGAGGGGGTGTTGCCATTTATCCACTCAAGGATGCCCTCAAGCCCTGCACTGAGCCACACAGTGAAAAAGCCCAGTAATCATCTGCTGAACACATCACACAGGTGGTCAATCAAGCCAAGTGGGGAATCAAAGGCATCCCCCCTGTATGTCCCTGGTATCCTGCAACACAGCACTCACACAGGGGCTGGGCTTCTTATGTGCCTTCCCCTCTAGACTGAAGCTCCTTGAGGGCAGAGAAGGCATTTCCCTGGTACCCATGACTGACACATGGGAGGCACTCCCCAAGTACTTCTGAGAGAATTAATGACTCTAAAGTATTCAGAGGCTGGGGCGGTGGCTCATGCCTGTAATCCCAGCACTTTGGGAGGCCGAGGGAGGCGGATCACTTGAGGTCAGGAGTTTGAGACTAGCCTGGCCAACATGGTAAAACCCCATCTCTATGAAAAAATACAAAAATTAGCTGGGCACAGTGGCGTGCACCTGTAATCCCAGCTATTCAGGAGGCTGAGGTGGGAGAATTGCTTGAACCCAGGAGGCAGAGGCTACAGTGAGCCGAGATTGCACCACTGCACTCCAGCCTGGGGAACAGAGTGAGATCCTGTCTCCAAAAAATAAAAATAAAAAATAAAGTATTCTGAACTCTTGTCCCCACAAACCACCAGCTCAGTTATCCACATACACTCAGTCTTCTCAGCACTCTTCACTCAGAGAATCGGGAATTTTTGTTCATCCAGGATCTAATTTTCCCTCTCTAGGACTCATCCCAGGCCCCACTGAACCAGCAGTAAGCACTTATAAACATACAGATAAGTGCTAGAATTAATAAGAAGAGGTGAATACTGGATCTTAATTGCAGGGGACACTGCTATCTAGTAAAGAGAAAACTCCACAAAATGTCCACTCTCTTCTGTTGTGAATGGCTCATGTCCCCAGGCCAGGCAGGAGAGGGGCTCTCAAGAAGCTGCCTGGGCCTCGGGGCCTGCCAGATGTGGTCTGGATTGCCAGGCAATAATGGCCACAGGCGCCAATGGACACTCACAGGTCAAAACCCAGTCACAATTACTGTACACAGGAAAACCAACAATGCAGGGGAAACACTCATTACAGAATGAAGCATGCTCAGGAGTGATGCTGATAAAGCCAGGCCCTTAACATTAAAACAAACAAAAACAAAATAAAAATGTCCAAACTTATGAAAGAAGCAATCACATTAGATCATGTGAAGGATTCCAACAGCCAGGACAAGTGAACAATTAAAATAATCATAGTATTTCTAATAGATTGTTAAAACGCAGTGAGCATCTCTGTTCAGGGCTGACAGGGGAGCATAGATTTAGGTTAACTATCCTCTGTCAAAGACCATCCTCCCCTGCTTCCTAAAAGAAACAAAGGATATGTGGCCAACACTTGGGCAGCATATTTACCCCGCACTTTGGAAGAAGTACCAGAGGAAGACCTAGCAAAAGTGTGCAGGATGAAAAAGAAAAAGAGAGGCTGGGCAGTAGGACAGAGAAAACAGGTCAAACAAACTTCTGCCTCTCTGCTCTGCCATGGACTGTTCCAGGCCACCGTACGGGTCTCCTCCCCAGGGATGCGGACGTGCCAACACACAAGGACCAGGCCAGGCACTGCTGAGCTCCTCCTTGCTCTAGCACTCCAGGTGTCTGTGGAAAATCTCTGATGAGCAAAAGGAACTCAAGTCCTAGCTCAGGACCCACCCCCTCCTGCAAACAGGCCCATTACAAGAAAGTATGGCCTCTGGGGCTTGTGGCCTAGCAGCAAGCCCTGGCTGTCCTTGGTTAGGGAGGGAGAAAGAAAAAAGTCAATCACATTCTCCAATCACAGCTGCAGGCCAATCACAAGGCACAGGACCTGCAAGCCAGGGGAGTGTGGGAGCATGTTGTGGGAAATAGATCCAAGTTACCCTCCAGAAGACTGGGGCATCAGCACCTAAGGCCCATAGGCCATCTTCAAACACACCTCAGACTTTTCAGGATATAGGTGGCCTCAGGCACTTTCCACATTGCTCAAGGGCTCCTGAGAAGTTGGCCATCTACCTACAATATCCCTTATCTCCTTTTCCATCAAACAAACTCCTACTCATCCTTCAAGGCCTCAGGATGTTTCCCCACCTCAGGATTTTGTCACAAAAATTTTCAAACATACACCAAAACAGGATGAATTTTACAGTGGACAGACACCATATGCCTGTCACCTAGATTGTATCATTAACATTTTACAGTGCCAGCTTTAACACATACTTCCCATTTATTCATCTTCCCGTTCACATACAGTGTTTTCTGGGGATCCCCCACCATCCCACCCTCCTCAAGACTCCCACAGCATTCAACACACTCCAGTCTGTCATCAGAGCCCCTCTAGAAAAACCTCCAGCAAGGGGTGACCAGCCCCCATCTGCACTCCACACAGCAGAAGCCCCAAAACAAAGAGTAGGCCTCGTGGGTGGTTCACTGGATTTAGAGGAGAACCAAACCAGATTCCTCAGTAGACAGCAGGAAGTGTCTCAGAAACATGGCTACAAATACTCCAAGCACCGGCCGCCTGATGGAAGGGAGCAGGGGTTGATGTCAGTCTCTCCCACAGAGCCCTAGCCCCAGCTGGGTGCTGGGGACCAAGCTGCAGGCAGCAAGTAGCCTGTGACTGGATACACTCTCCAAGTCTTCAGTCCTCTGCAGGCCTGCTTCTCCCTGTGTAAAACAAGGGGGCTGCATTCATGAGGAAGTTCTTCTGCAGAGGGCCACTGACGTGCTGCAGCAGCCTCCATGGCACGGGGCCAGGGCAGCTGGGGCTGCTCTGCTTTTCTCGATTTCAAATGTTGCCATTCACTGTAAAATTTTATTTGTGGAGGAAAAGGTTCCATTACTTTATTTATTTATTTATTTATTTTTTGAGACGGAGTCTTGCTCTGTCGCCCAGGCTGGAGTGCAATGGCGTGATCTCGGCTCACTGCAAGCTCCACCTCCCGGGTTCATGCCATTCTCCTGCCTCAGCCTCCTGAGTAGCTGGGAATACAGGCATCTGCCACCATGCCTGGCTAATTTTTTGTATTTTAATAGAGACGGGGTTTCACCGTGTTAGCCAGATGCCTCGATCTCCGACCTTGGCCCCCCTCAGTGCCAAGCTGGATCGTATGAGCACGGCCCAGCATTATTTATTTATTGATGTTGAGGAGTCTTGCTCTGTCCAGGTGGATGCAGTGCTGATCTCATTCCGCCCCGCCCCAGGTAGCATTCTCCTGCCTCAGCCTCCTGAGTAGCTGGGATTACAGGCATCTGCCACCATGCCCGGCTAATTTTTGTATTTTCAGTAGAGATAGAGTTTCACCACATTGGCTAGGCTGGTCTCGAACTCCTGACCTCAAGTGATCCACCTGCCTCAGCCTCCCAAAGTGCTGGAATTACAGGTGTGAGTCACTGTGCCTGGCCTCCGTTACTTTTTTAAAAGTTTGGCAAGTATTAGATGATTTCTGAGGCTCTAACATTGTGACCTCGGCTTGGAGGAAGAATGAGCCCCAAGGGCACAGAATGCAGTGATCTCATCAATAGTCAGCACCAGGAACATCTGCTCTGGCCTTGTGTTTGCTGCCTCTTCCCCACAGCCTTCCCACTGGTGTGGTGGGTTAGATAGCTCCCAACCCCACAGGCAGGGCCTCTATGCTCCAATCCTGGAGAAGCATCCCGATGGCTTTCCAAAGAGCTATGCTAAAGACAGGCCCAGAGACTACGACTTGGGGCTTCCACTTCAGGGATTTCCAGGGGTCTCCACACAGAGAAAGCTTTACCATCTCTTGACTTCAGTCTTTTACATCTGTTTCAAAAAGGAAGAAAAGGCCGTGCGTGGTGGCTCACACCTGTAATCTCAGCGCTCTGGGAGGCTGAGGCTGGTGGATCACCTGAGGTCAGGAGTTCAAGACCAGCCTGGCCAACATGGTGAAACCCCATCTCTACTAAAAATACAAAAATTAGCCAGGCATGATGGCAGGTGCCTGTAATCCCAGCTACTTGGGAGGCTGAAGCGGGAGAATCGCTTGAACCCAGGAGGCGGAGGTTGCAGTAAGCCAAGATCATGGCACTGCACTCCAGTGTCGGTGACAAAGCGAGACTCCTTCTCAAAAAAAAAAAAAAAAAAGGAAGAAAAAAAAGGACAGAAGGTGAGAGGAGGGCCAGATGTTAAGACTTTTGCTACCACAGTGCCAGGTGGCCACCTGCATGTCCTCTGTGGTGTCATCACAGCCAGACCCTCAGTAGGCTCACTTGGGAGACTTTCCTCTGCTTCCTCCACCTCCAAATCACTCAAACAGAGTGATTCTCTTTGGGCCTAAGACAACTGAGAGCCTACTGCTTGCTCAGGTCACCCTTTCCACTATGCAAGAGCCAGGACAGGAATTTCCTAAACGTTGATGACTTCAGCTTTGGCCTTCTCCTATTTCTGGTCCTCAACAGAGGGAAGAACAGCTGGTCACTTGTACAAAAGCCCTCCATCTATTAGAACACCTTGGTAAATATCCTCTCTTTTCTATCTAATTAATCCCAATGCCTTTATCTTTTCTTCAAGGGACATTCTCATCCCTACCTCACGCAACAGTCTTTTAATCATCTTTATGGATTTCCTCTGAGCCCTCCACAAGTTTGAAGAACAGGGAATAAGGTCCTGAAGATCTGTTTTCTGTTGCTGCAAAGATGGGAGGGAGAAGAAAGTCTTTGTTGATGAGAAAGGGGAATAAAGAAGTTAAACATGTAGAATAAACCAGATTTCTCTAGAGAAAATGGCCTTGGCCATTCTGTCTTTATTGAAATGAGATGCAAGAAGCAAGAGGAGATACACCATCTGCTACTTGGAGAAACGAGGAGGAGGCCTCTGTTATTATCTGATGCTGATGAATGGCCACAGAAGAACATATATTTTTGGTATCATTGTATTAATTAAAAGTTATTCATTGAAGACTAAGCTCAAAATGCTAAATTGGGAGAGACAGAGGGCACTGGATGACAGAATCGCAATCTTTAAAGATCCCAGAAAACCGAACTCAGGCTTTCTGCAGGTAAGGGCATGCACTTTAGCAGGGACAGATGCAGTGTCTTGAATTTTGGGCCCAGACCTAAAGGTCCTTGCACAGGATGACAAAGATAGGCTTAACCACCAGACGAGAAGTGACGCAGCAGGGTTTTCAGCTGATAGAAACTCTCCATTTTATAATGTCTGCCTCTTGTGAAGAACTGCCTATCCATCCCCATGGTGGGCTGCCAACTGCCACATTTGTTCCATGTGGAGACTGGGCAGTGGGTGTGGCTTATGACAATCTTCAAATATTTAAGGATCTACCCATGTGAAAGAGGAATTAGTCTTGTTCTAGTGTCTAAGAAGACAGATCAGGATCAAGGTTACAGGGAGACACACTTTAGATCAATGTGTGAAAGGCTTTCTAACAACAGTCATGAAAGCTAGGATTTGTGAGGCCTTACCTAAGCCCAGCCCTGCTCCAGGCACTGCCAAGGTGTGAGTGATCACTCCAGTCTAGAGAGGAGAAGAGGGCCTGGAGATGGCTGGTGACTTACCTGGCATCACCCAGCTCATCAGTGGGAGGGGATGGATGGGAAGGCATTAATTCATAGGCCTGTGTAATTTGTATGTCTGCTGTGCTGCTGCCCAAAGTCTAACCAAGATGTCCATTTGAAAGCAAGTGGGCTGCTGTGAATAGCCTGTCATTGGGGATGTGCAGAAAGACCCAGTAGACAAGACGCTGTGGAAGAAATCTGAACACAGGTGTAGAGCTGAACCAACTTCCTGGCAGGTCTCTCCCAATTCAGAGAGTGGAGGATTTGATACATAGCTCAAGAGGAGGAGTTGCTGTGTTCACCCTGGGCACCCTGCCTTCCTTCTCCTCAGAGGCTCCAGCTATGCTGACAGCACAGGGTGCTAAGAGTGGCCTCAGCCTCTCCTCAAATACCAGCCACATACCCATGAGTCTGCAGGCAAATAGCTCACACTGTCAAGTTTCCCTGCTGCTCTTGCTTTACTGCAGGAAGCTACACCCAAAAGTGCTTTGCGATGTGCAGGAGGCAACCAGGACATAACCTGCCCACAGTTATGATCATCCTGGGGCTGACACCACCAATTACCTCTCTTCCTATTCCCCCCACCTCCTACCCCAGCAATTTATACTTGAACTGGAAGCAGCTTCTGTTGGTGGGAACATCTGGGTTGTTTGTTTCCATGGCCTAGCCAGCACTCTCAGCTCTGCACTTCTCTGCCCCGAGCACTCTGGCTGCCCTCCAGCTTGATGGAGGGTCCTGGGGACACATTCTGATTCCAGCACTTTCCAAGCAGACCGTGGTATTTCTCCACATGGAAGGCTGGCAGTTCAGTGTGGCTCTGACCCCTGGGAGACCCTGCCTGCTGGCTTCTGACTGCCAGGGGAAGAAGGGGAGGGAAGATGTCAGGGATGGCGGAGACGTGCAGCCAACCAGCCTGGAGGGCTGTGTCTGTTCACAGCTGTCCACAGTGCTGCCCAGCTCCTGAATCTCCTGTGCTGGAAGGACAGCCTCCCACTGGCACCCAGAGTCATTCTTTTTCTGTTTGATTTATAAGATAGCAGTGAGGGCTAGGAGGCTTGGAGTTGGAACAAAACAGAGGGAAGGAAAACGTCATGGGAAGCAACCTATTTTTGAAAACCGTGAGCTGACGCCAGGAGATTAGGTTCTGTTTGTCTTGGCTGATGGGCTTGTTTAAAAAAAAAAAAAAGAAAAACCAAAAACCAAAAAAAAAAAAAAAAAAAAAACCAAAACCCCCCTCTCCCCCCAACACACAAAGTATTCCTGCTGTCTGGGTCTGCTCTGGCTGTCTGGAAGCATCTTGGCTTTGTTCAACACACCCCCTGCTGCCAGGAGCACGGCTCTATCCAGAGCAAACCCCCCTGTCAGCAGGAATTCCGACGCTGACACAGCACAAAGCTGCCTCAAGAGGCCTTCTCAGTTTCTGGACTGACCTCAGAATCCTGTGCATCTGGGTAACGCCTGGCCGAACCTTCCTGCAGGCTGGGAATGGAGGCCAATGACAATGCATTCAAGGGAAGCCAGGTCCCCCGGAGTGTGGCACATATTCAGCTGCATCTGCTGAGCTGAGGCAAGCCTGGTCTGATGCAGGTGTGTCAGGAGTGAGGTCTGGGAACTAGGGAGAGGCCACTCAGGACTTCTCACTGGGGCTGGGCCAAGGGTACTTGTCTCAGCTTCAAGAGCAGGCTGGTGTAGTTACACGGAGACAAGTTGTTTCCCAGCTGCAAGCTCCTCCGGAGCAGGGACCACAGTTCATGCACCTCTGTGCCCCTAGGACTGTGCTTTGTATTAGGCCTGGAACAGGTCTCCAACCACCCTCAGCCCCATAAGAGCCGATGGTTTTGGAGTAGGAAGGGGGCACAATAAGCAGCAACCTGGGACCAGGACAGGGCCTTCACAGGCGGCACGCATGTGCCAGCAGCAGGGTAGAAGGTGTAGCACTTGGGGACCAAGACTGACAGTGGAGGGCTGGACACCAACAGCAGTATCAACAGCAGCAGCAGGTGTATCATAAGACACTCATGCCAGGTTGCCAAGTCAGTCTGGCTCCTGACCTGTTCCCTCAAGCATCTTGCCTCCCGTTGAAAAGTGTATGGGCCCTTGCAGTTCACAGCATCCTTTTTCCACCCTCCAGAAGGTCACTGCTTCTAAGGGCAGTACCACTGACATTTTCTGCAAATGCCAGGGTCATCTGAGGCTGGCTGTGGTGGAGATCTGGGTACTGGCTCTGGACCTGGCTGCCCTGGGAAACAGGCCTGAGGTAGGGGCCTTGACCCTGGTCTCAGGGCTAGGCTGCAGGCCACCCACTCCTGGACCCCTTTCTGCCATGCCCCTAGATCCATGGGCTGTCCAGAGGTGGGGAGGCCAGTGTGCAATGGCCAACCACAATATGCCTGGGAATCCTCACTGTTAGGGAAAAGAACAGGAGCATCACACTTGATCTCAGTCTCAGGATACCTTGCGGGTGAGGTGCCACTAGAAGGGCTCCTGTGCACAGTCAAGGTTGAACAGGCCCTCCTGCAAAACATGATGTTGAGGGACCAAAATACAGATAGAGTACAAGCTCAACTACACTGAAAATAAACCTACAAAAAAGTCAGAAAGAAAAGACATCAAAGCACCTACGGTGGTTATTTATGCTTGGGTCAAAGAAAGTTATTATTTTCTTCTCTGTGCTTTCTCTTTCTTTCTGGCAGCATGTATTCTGCAACTGGCATTTTATAATCGGGAAAAAATATTATTAAGGAATATAAAAAAGAGAGACAATGGTACAGGCTTCTGCCTGTCTGTAGGCAACGTGAGGCTGCGTGTGTGCTGACATGGACTATCAACAACAGAGCCACTGGACCCATCCCACCTCGCCACTGTGTCCCCGGGTGGGATCCTCCAACAGTGTATGGTGGTAGAGCTGCCACCACAGGCCAAGTGCTTCTGCAAGACGACTCACCTGTAGCAACTCCAGATCAGATGAATCCTCCTGTCCAGGGACCATTTCTGTTAACATCTCAGACATGACTTTTGTGTTTCCTCGGACGACGTCCAGTTCACTCCGCAGCCTGGCAATCTGGTGGGGGCCACGAGGAAGGAAAGCAGTAAGGAAAGGTCAGTCAGCCTGCACTTGCAATATCAGAATCAGCTTGCTCCTAGGCTAGTGACAATCCCTCTCACTGGGAGATCTGGGTTGCCTTTCTGAGTGCACACGGCAGAGGCCACCTTCTCATCTCCCTCTGGCCTGCCTGTCAGCTCTGAGAGAGCTGAATGGGCCCTGCTACCAACAGTCTGTTGTGCCTCTCTTAATGTGACACGAAAGCAGTACCACGTAGTGAAGGGCTCAGTGTCAGGAATGCACCAAGCTGGCTCTCTGTCTCGGCTCTCCCACCATGGGAACTTGAGTAGAAGCTGAAGCTCTCAGGGCTTCCGTTCCTGCTCTTTAAAATCCAAGTGCAGGAGGGCAGGAGCTCTGAGATCCCTTCAGAGCTGAGATCCTATTCTACGAAGCTCTGAGTTATAGACTCTGTTCCTAGGAGTTTTATATCTAAACACTAGGATCCTCTGAGAGGCTGGGCAGTGTCAACAGCACTTTTCTGCTGTGGCAAGAATGAGAGAAGAACAGGGGAAGACCACAGGGGAGACACCTTCCCCACCCAGCTCCCTACATGGTAACATAGCCCCTTGAAAAATATCCAAGCTGGCCATCAGCGATCCCAAAGCCTGGACTGGGCCAAGGCCCGAGGCTCCTCTCCAGCAACAGAGACATCGACACTTTCTCCCCTTGCCCTCAGTCCTGTGCCTCAGATCTGCCCCTTTACTCCCTCAACCCCCTTGAAGCATCTGCGGAAACCACAGGGACCTTCCTCGCCCATGGTGAAGTATCACAGAAGAATCTGCATAGAAGTGCTTATTGGTCCCATCACTCAGTGACAAGAGACCAAACAATGCTGGACAGAGGTAAAGAACTGCACACGACACTGAAGGGAGCCCTGGAAGACTCAGCAGCAGCATCCAGAGCCGGACCTGAGCCACTCTGAGCCTTCGTTTCCCCACCTACAGAAAGGTGGCACTAACACCACACCTCACCAGGCTGCTGTGAGGTTCCCACGTGGCGCCTGGCATGCAGCTATGCTCTCTACTACACACGTACGGCCCTTGTTCCTGCTCAAAGGTCCAGAGAGAGGAACTGTAATGTCATTCTTCCTGCACTGTGACCCAGCTTAAGTGACAACTCCTCTGCTCAGTGAAGCCTTTTCTGACTCTCCCCACCCCATTCTGAGGTAGAAGCAACCACTCCCGCTTCCTCGGGTTCCCACTCGCTGTGCCATCTTTCACTATTGCAGCCGTAGCAGCCTCTCCTGTGTGGGTGGGTTCGCTCAGCAGACCCTTAGCTTCTTAGGGCAGGAACTCAGCTGGGTTGTGCTTTATACCCTCAGCATAGAGACAGGGACAGGAGACCTCAATCAATGGTCTACCAGGGAGATGGTCTGGGTCCCGAGAGGCTCTTGTCAGCCTCTGGTTCTGTCTGGTGGATGATCCAGGGGTTTTCTTCAAAGTCTTGGTAGAGAGAAGAGGTTTCTGGCTAGGAAGGCCCAGGAAGGCTATGGGTAGCCACCTGGTGGACTCTGAAGCCCTGGGTCCTCTTGGCCAGGCTGGGTACTGACCTGCCTATCTCTGCCTGCATTCAGCTCCCCCAGGGGCAACAGGCCTCAGGGCTCCTGTGCTACCTATGCCCAGACCCTCCAGACCCAGCATCTTATGGCTACTAGGAGGGCCTTCCCGAGCACCTCCCACACTGTGAGTCAGTGAAGGGGCTCAGTAACTGTCCAACTTCAAACATTTTCTGCCTTCCCTCAGAGCAGGAAGGGCACAGTTCTGCCCATAGAAGCAGGGCCAAGAGCCAGAGACCTTCCCCACAGCACTTGGGTAGCAGCCACCATGAGGACCTTTTCCATCTGTCAAGCCCACACCTGCCTGGTGGGGTAACAGATCACCTGTTCTACTGATGGGAGACTGGGGTTAAATGTCCTGACTGAAGCCTACAGTGAGCAGCACAGCAGGGGGCTCACACCCAGGCCCTGGGGGCTTCAAGTTCACTCTTCCTCCTCTCTTACTCCCTGCTCAGAGCTAGCAGGGAAGTGTGAGGAACACAACATAACACTGCCCTCCCTACACACACACTGCTTGACCCCTCTGCTACAGTGAGGTTCCACAGTCATGACATTGTCGCAAATAGTAAATAAGAATTTGGTAAATATAGGCCAGGCGCGGTGGCTCAAGCCTGTAATCCCAGCACTTTGGGAGGCCGAGACGGGCGGATCACGAGGTCAGGAGATCGAGACCATCCTGGCGAACACAGTGAAACCCCGTCTTTACTAAAAAAATACAAAAAACTAGCCGGGCGAGGTGGCGGGCGCCTGTAGTCCCAGCTACTCGGGAGGCTGAGGCAGGAGAATGGCGTGAACCCGGGAGGCGGAGCTTGCAGTGAGCTGAGATCCAGCCACAGCACTCCAGCCTGGGCCACAGAGCGAGACTCCGTCTCAACAAAAAAAAAAAAAAAAGAATTTGGTAAATATAAACATTGGAGAGTTTTTTTTTTTTTTCCATGTCCGACCAATTCTCAAATTGTAATTGAAATTCTCTGGATTCTTCTAAAGAGTACTCCCCAATTCATCTAAAAAATCCAGCGTGGGGTTAAAACTGCATTAGTTTATCAGGAAGTAACCCGGGAAGGTGGGGAGTGTTTGGGATAAAAGCAGGCTTCTTGTGCTTCAGGAGGGCCTCATTGATCAGGTCACAGGCTTCTGATGGCTGACTTTTTTTATAGGATAGATCTAAGCCTCTGCATGACAGACAAGCCCGTCACAACTCAGCTGCACTTCTATGCTTTTGGCCTCACGTTTTGCCATGGTTTCCTCCCAGATCTGGGCCCTACCTATGTGCCTGCTCTCCAGTCAAGCCACCTGCTGCTCCGAGAGAGCTCTGCGCCTCTGCACCTCTGCCTTGCAATGTCATTGCTGAGCATGCGGTCTCACATGACAAAGCCCCACTCCTGTGTCAGGACCCTCTGTGTGTCAGGTCCCCAGTGCCTCCCAGGCACCACTCAACCCTGGGCTCACAACTCTGAGTCCTTGGTTCTGCTCCCCAGCACAGCCTGACCACACTCCACCATGACTGCCTCAGCATTTGTCTCCCCTGGGGATTGAACTCTTCCATCTCTGTGCCCCTGACACCCAGCATAATGCCTGGCTTGGGAGGCCTTTGTAAGTGTCTCCCAGAAAGATGAATAAGGAGAGTCAGCTAGCTTGCCTATGGCCCCGAAGTATGCAAGTACCTGTTCTGAATTGGCTGTGATGGGGCCAGTCACACTCAGAGCCGGGGCCTGCGGTGCGGAGTAGGGAGCAGGAGGCGGCGAGGAATAGGAACCAGCACTTGTCCTCTGCTGTGACTGGGACCTGGGCATGGTCGCGGCTGGATCCACTTCAGGGACACTCTGGCATGGCAACAACAAAGTCCTCTGTTTACCTGGGCTGCCTGCATAGCTGGGCCTGGTACCTACCCCACCCCATGCGGCATTTCCCCAAAGCTGCCCACAGAAGGCTTAAGGCCCTGCTCCACTGCTGCCCGGGTGAGGCTCACAGAACCCCACTGAGCCCAGGCTCTCCATCTGGGAAGTGGGGCTGCCAATGGCTCCTCCCTCTACTTACCTCTCAAGGAGTGTGTGGCAGACAATGAAAGCAACTCCAAAAGGCAGCACCGAGAGTGCTCTGTGAGCCCTCTGGTCATGGTTCTATTATTAAGACCACCTTGGGATCCAAGTGGAGGGAGGGCGGTTATTAAGTTTTGCTAATCACAAATCTTTACTTTGTACCATAAGAATTACTTTTTTGGCCTTTACAAGTAGACTAATATAAATAGTAATTATGTAATTTACCAAATGTTTTTTGTAATTATAGGAACAACAACACTGCTCTCTGTCATTATTAGAAGAGTGAAACAGATTATGTTGATTTCACAAAGCATAGCGCACGGTCTGGAGGGATCATGATGAGAGCAAGCTCTAGAAAGGGCAATCCCTTGGGCTGGGCGCGGTGGCTCATGCCTGTAATCCCAGCACTTTGGGAAGCCAAGGCGGGCAGATCACGAGGTCAGGAGATCGAGACCATCCCGGCTAACACGATGAAACCCCGTCTCTACTAAAAATACAAAAAATTAGCTGGGCGTGGTGGCGGGCACCTGTAGTCCCAGCTACTCGGGAGGCTGAGGTAGGAGAATGGCGTGAACCTGGGAGGTGGAGTGTGCAGTGAGCCAAGATCGCACCACTGCACTCCAGCCTGGGCGAGAGAGCAAGACTCTGACTCAAAAAAAAAAAAAAAAAAAAGAAAAAGAAAAGGCCATCCCTCATGCTTACCCTTTGGGCATCTCAGATGACCACTTGCACATTAAGTCGTGTTCCTATGAGAGACGTGCACAGGTGTGCTGTCCTTCTCAGAGATGGGCAATGGGGGCAGGCAAAGTGACATGTACTGGGATGAGGTGCCTCTCCCAGACCCTGGTGCTTTCCTGGCTCTCCCCCAGGCTAGGAGTGGAGCTGATTCCCAGCCAGTAGAGGGACTAGCTTCCTTGCGAAACCATGAGTGGCATGACCTACATGCTTTTAACCCTGAAGTGCCACGCTGCCCCCTCCATGGTGCTCGAGTTACTGTTGGCACTGTAAAAGCTTTGGTGGGATGCCCCTAAAGGGACCTTCCCAGAGCTTTGATCCCAAGGCTGATGGAATCAAGGATTGAATCCAGAATCAGATCTGGATTGATGCTGAATGCTCACAGCTCAAAATAAATTTTAGATCCATTTGACTTCGTATACTTGAAAAACCAGAAAGCTAATTTTTGCCCCAAGAGTGACATCAAGACCGCTGTATGCTCTGAGGTGCTATGGTGCTCTGAGGGACAACAGGATTCCCACACCAGATTCTAGGGGCCTCTGAAAAGCAAGTGCTAATGACCCTCACAGGATGGCTCCGCCCGAGTAGCCATTTCCATGAAAACCCTGAACTGATCCCTCTATTATACTCTTCCACAGACACTGCTGCCACTTAATCACCAGTCAACCAGCTGTCTCACTCCTGCATGCCCCTTGTTATTAAAAAGGAATGCCCCCAAGCTTTAAGAAAGCATGATGACAAGCTGAATAATTCAAAGGCAGCAGCAGAAGGGTGGCTGCAGCAGCTTGGCTCACCCGTTCTGCAGTAGGTCTTTCTAGAAAGTGCCAGCTGGAAACTTACCCGCTGTGGTGTGTGTATGGGAGACAGAGCGTCCAAGTCTGCCATGGGAAATTCAACCCCTTTCCTCTTCAGCTCCTCATATATGTGCACAACGCCGGTGAGATCAGGACTGCTTCGAAAGGCATCAGCCCATGCCTGGGAGAACAGAAGCCCTGTTAGGAAGCATTTGTCAAGAGCTGCTGTGGTACCTGAAAATCCAAAGTGGCCTAGGTCCTCTCCCTGACACCAATGCTGTCCTACATGCACATGCAAACTGCACTGGCTAAATCCATTCTGTTCCTTCCTTCCGCAACTGCTGCCACGACACAGCTGGTGAAACCCTGGCTTTCAGTGGTGCTGCTGAGCGTGAACAAAAAACACAAAACTTAATTTAGCATGTATTTCCTTGGAGAAGAGACAGAGAAATAACACCTATGCGTTGTGGTGCATCCTAAAAAGCAGGCATTTCCCTAATGGCAAGGAAATCAATTACTGGGGCTGTTTAGCTGCAGGGAGTGGAAGGTGCAGCCTTGTCAGCTCAGTAGGGTGCCTGCCCTCTGTGCAGCAGCACCTCTGCCCTGAGAGCTTCTACTGGTGGAGCTGGGAACCGGCAACAAATTGAGCAGAAAGGAAAGGAGAAATTGATGTGTGACATGAAATAAAGGCTAACTACAGGTTTCCTCAGATCACAGACAACTAATGCCGAGCTTGTCTAGCCTAGCTCTGTATAGCGCTGCTGCTGGTAGGTGAGATGACTGTGGTTCAAGGGAAGAAGAGCCCATTGGGAGCCAGACCCAGGCCAGACTGGGGAGTTCACCCCCAGGGGTCCTTTTCCCAGACCCAAGCTTCTTCCATGATGTCCGCTGCCAAAAATATCAGCACACATGTGCCCAAATCGAAAAATCCAAAGAAAACATGATCACTAGATTCCCTTCAGTGAAAACATACCACAGAGAGGAAACAGCAAAAATTCAAGTAGATTATCATTTCTGTTGACTCATGAAATTTAAAAATTAAAAAAAAATTCTGGGCCGGGCACAGGGGCTCATGCCTGTAATCCCAGCACTTTGAGAGGCCAAGGCAGATGAATCACGAGGTCAGGAGATCAAGACCATCCTGGCTAACACAGTGAAACTCCATCTCTACTAAAAATACAAAAAAATTAGCTGGGCGTGGTGGTGGGCGCCTGTAGTCCCAGCTACTCAGGAGACTGAGGCAGGAGAATGGCATGAACCTGGGAGGCGGAGCTTGCAGTGAGCCGAGATGGAGCCTGCAGTGAGCCGAGATGGCGCCACTGCACTCTAGCCTGGGCGACAGAGCAAGACTCAGTCTCAAAAAAAAAAAAAAAATTATGTTTTTTGGAAGTCTCAGACTGTATCAAAAAAAGAATATCCAAAGGGCTCCCCAGAAATGGCCCTTCCCATGCTGTCCCATTCACCATACGTACCCAGAGGAGGAGGCAGAGCCTCTTGTGCCCATGACTCCATTGCCAAGTCTGTCACTGTCACAGCATGTAACTGCTTCCCTCACTCCAGCAATGTGGTACAACCAATCCTGAGGCAGCTACAGAAACTCTATCTCTAACCAACAGACCCATTTGAAGTTAAAAGGTCAGTTTCCAAAAAGCCTCCTTAGTTATGACTGATGCATCTCACTTACCAGGAACGGTACTGTCAGCCTGGCTTTCCCTGATGCACTTATTGAATTTGCATGCTCAGGGATTTAAAGCTACTGGATCAGGACAGCCCCTCTTGGTCAACACTCCTTCTGGATTCTGAGAAGGGCCAAAGAAGGTGCCTCACAGAGCACTGTTCTGCCTGGAAGGTCCAGCTGGAAAGTAGGTTGCCCACAGGGAGTGCCTCTGGCCCCGCCCCCACCAGCTGCCATGGCTGCCGTCACCTGGTTCAAAATCCAGCTAAGTCCTGTGACTCCAACCTCAAACTGCCCTAGCATTTTAGTTTAGGGTGTTGACTTTCGGGTCTAAAAACCAGTTTCACAGCCCACTGTGGGAGGCTGGGGAAAAAACACATGGTAGTTTTTCCTGGCACCACTTCATGCCTCTACATGGAACACCGACAGCTCCAGGGACTCCTTTCAATTCATCTAGCTCTCTACCCAAGCCAAATCTGAGATAACAGGAATAAAGATGAAAGAACTATGGCTCTTCTCTCCAGGTGGAGGATACTTCTTGGGGTCCACTTTCTAAGGCACTCTGCTCCCATGTTCACAGAGACAGGCTGCAGCGGGAGGGAAATGCATACCAAAGTTGGGCCAGTCAGATGCTCCTCCTTCCAGGAACTCAGCAGCACTAGGAGCTGGGTTGTTCTCACTGGGTAGGCAGAACTGTCCTCTGTAACTCCAGAGCCATGTGCCAGCACAGGACTGGAAGCAGAGACTGCCTATGTTCTCCAGAAGGAGCAGCTAGAGCGCTCAGAGGTGCAGACGTACAAGAGAGGATTTGGAAGGCCTTCCTGATCTTTTTTGTCCCTTTCCAGGGCTGGGTGACCTGGACTTCTGGGAGACCCTGCCCTGTCATGACAAACTCTTCTCTTTGCCTAGGCAAGCTGGAGTTGACATCTGTTGTTTGCGACCAAATAGTCTTGGCTAATGTACCCGCTTCCCACCTGCCACAATTCCAACCCCTATCTGGGACCTCAGTGCAAACTGGATGAGATGGCTGCTAACAGAGCAGATTATTGAATAGGATTCTGATGCCAATGGAGGAAAAAACAGGGTGCGGGGGCATCTCTGAAGAAATGCAGCTCTGGGTCTTTCATCTCTGGGTATCTCCCATTCATATGTGAAAACATAGAGATGGGAGACATCCAGAGATGCCGTGTGTCCCTAGCATCTTCTTGGGACATGCCTCAATAATTGGGCATGGGTCAGAGCAAGACAGGGTCTTGCTCTGTCCCCCAGGTTGGAGTACAATGGTGGCGCCATCTTGGCTCACTGCAACCTCCGCCTCCAGGCTCAAGCAATCTTCCCACTTTAGCCTCCAGAGTAGCTGGGACTACAAGCACGTGCCACCATGCCTGGCTAATTTTTGTAGTTTTTGTAGAAATGGGGTTTCATCATGTGGCCTAGGCTGGTCTTGAACTCCTGGACTCAAGAGATTCACCCGCCTTGGCCTCCCAAAGTACTGGGGTTACAGACATGAGCCAACTGCACCCAGCCCAGATACCTGTTGAAGGCAGACACCGAGTCCCTCTCACCCTTGCCCAGAGAAGGCAGTCAGTCAACACTTGTCAGGTTAAACTGAATTCAGTTCTCACAGTTACTAAGCATCCTTATTTTACTACTTCAGAGAACAGAGGAAAGATGGCCACTTAGGCTGTCAACAGACTGAAGCGACAGTGACAAAGGAGGGGTGCTGGAAGGCTGACCCAGCTGAGGATACTCCCTAGGGGAGATGTGGTAAGCCTCAGGAGGTCTGGCCACTCTTGGAGCCCTTAACCTGAAGCCTGGGAGCAGCAGAGAGGGTGGGGCAGGCTACCCTCCCCTAAAGCTGCCTTTTCAGAAAGCAAAGTGATGCAGTGGTGTGGGCACACTCTGAGGGCCTGTCACAGGAGCTAGCTGGTTAATGGCCAAGTGGCCAGCTCACTGGAAGCCTTCTTTTCCTGCCTGTGGCTACAAGATTAGGGGCTTGGAAGACCCAGAGGAAGGTCTAATGAGGAGAAAAAAGGAAAGAGATCAATTCAGATCTCCTTCATTCCTTTGGACTGTATACAAAACCCCAGACTAAAACCAGACACAAACATAAACCATATCCTATTCATTTCTGTATCCCTTAAAGTTTTGGCAAAGCTTTGAATCATCAAATTTCAGACCAATAAACCATGGCTGATTTAAACTATAGGCTCTGGGATGCCTTTGGATAGAAGAGAGCTTCTGTCAGCTCCTGCTTACGCCCCAAGACCAGACTTCCTATTCCCAGTGACAGGGTCCCCAGGGAGCTGCTGTCCACACAGAATCTGGCCAGAGTCCAGCTACCAGGCTCTGATGTCTTCAAAGAACACACATCTCCAGCTTCTCCTGTCCCCACTCCCATCCCCACCTCAGTCAGCTCACTTTCTTCAGTGGAAAGAAAGTATTTTTAGACTATTGCCGGGGCATGGGGAGGGGGCCAGGGAGGCATGACCACACTGAGGTGACTCTGCCAGGATGACTCCATTTCTGCTCCTGAAAACAATTTCAAGGGAAAGGCTCAGGGAAGGCATAGAGTGGGGGCATCCTTTTTGTCTTCTCAACAAACGGGGCTTAATGTGAGCAAACAAAAAGGAACACAAGCCAAAACACCAGCCAAGGCATGAGGTGAAAACGTCGGAGTGAAGCTGAAAGCTGTCAGAAGTGAAGTCTTTGGTACCCCGGGGGTAGGAGTGAGTGTCAGCAAGCTACTAACCAGGCTGCACCACTCTCAATGTGTCTCTCCTCCCATCCTCCCAGGAAGACCGGCTCCATCCAGAAAGGCAGACCCTGTGGTGAGGGTAAGCCGACTGAGCCCTCGCACCTGTTGGTAAAAGGTCCCAGAACCATGCTGCTGGGTCTGGCTTTTGGCGGGTTGAGGGGGACGGGGTGGCTACGGATGGCTGGAGGGCAGCCAGAAGACAGAAAGCCCCCATACGGGAAGGGAAGCAGTGCAGTGGGGGAAGGAGGGGTAGGCATCAGCTGGATTCTCTTTGCAGTTGGCCAGGGTGCTACTGATGGTAAACGTGCCACTGGGTAGGCTGACCATGCCTGCTAATGGCACTCTGAAAGGGAATCAGAAGATGGGCTGGGGGCAGGCAGATGTGCACGGATGACCTCTATCACCCATTTCCCTATAGGCACAGGGAGACTTTGGAAAAGCTAGTGTGGAGCCCAACCTCCCCCTTCCCCTCAATCTGGCTGCGGCTCTGCTTCCACCATCCCCAGGGCAACCAAAGGGGCAGTGGGCTTTGGCCAGCAGCTGGTAATCAGAGCCATGAGTTCTACCTCTGCCAGGACCCCCAACCATGCCTCATAGGCAGAAGGTGTTAGGGAGGCACATCTGTGTGGCCCCTTTACCTTGAAAGCTTTTCAAGTGCTAACACATTCAATCTACTTTTCCAGAATGGAAAGGTTAAGGCTGTAGCCCATTCCACCCCCAACCCACAAACAGTCAAAAGCCAGTTTAAGTCTTTCCTGGCTGGGCCCTTGCCCTCTGTCATCTGCAAACCTTCGTTTTTCCAGTTAAACTGCTGGCTCCCTGAGGGTAGGGCCAGGACTGACCCTGCCCCACTTCTCTGAAGAGCACCAAGAAGCATCCTGACACCACGATGGGGCAGAGGAGTCTGTTGCTGCTCTGGCACCCCACACTTAGCTGAACCTCCTCTAAGCCTAGCCGCATTGATATGAGAGCTGCTACCTATTCACAGGCTGGCAAGGCAGCCAGTGACCTGTCACCTCCAACCCCATTTTTGTCTCATGGTGGGAGCAGCACTTTCTCTCCTGGGGGAATTGTCAGAGTCTCTGGGGGAGCCTTAAGGTTTTCTAAAGTATATTCAACATGCAAACAAAAGTACTTTCTTTCTCAAAGGGGCTAAAAAAAGGTTGACCCAATGCAATACTACTCCATGCTCTAATGAAGAAGATTGAAAACAGGGTATGTGGGTGAGGATGTGAAGCAACTAACACTCTTGGGTGCTGGTGACCGAGGACACCCAAGAGCCCCATGGAGGCCATTCCCCACCACCCAGCAACCTCATACCTCAGTATAAGGTGGATACATGTGAAATTGCTAATATTTGGCCATTTTTGACCAACAAAGATGGCACTTTCACATATTCAACTTAATATATTCCCATTAAAAAGGAATATATATGCTCAACAAAAGTCAAGTGCTAGATGCTCATAGCAGCATTTTTCACAGTAGCCCTACACTGCAAACACCAAGTCCCCATTAACAGTGGGAGGAGTAAAGAAACTGCAGCGTGTTCACACAATAGGACTTGGTACAGCAATGGGAATAAAAGACCTAGAATCACAGGCAATAATGTGTGTGATACCCACAAACACAGCAGAGGCAACAGAGCACTCTGGACGAAGTTCAGGAACAGAGAAGACTCGTCTATGCTGTGAGAGCTCAGGCAAGTGATCATCCGGAAGGTGGGAGGTTTTGGGTATGTTCATATTCTGTTACCAGATGCAGGGGCTGGTTACATGTTCAGTTTGTGAAAATTTATCAAGTTGTACACACTTTTATGTGTGATTTCCTGTATATATAATTCAATTAAAAGTTAAAAAAAAAAAAAAGAAAGGGCTAGGGATTCTGTTTATTCTATTGGTTCCCCCTGTTACAGAAGCCAAGCCACCCACAGCTGAATGCTGCCTGCTGTCCTCTGCTGGGCAGCCGTTACCAAAGGCGAGAGCTCTTCAGGAACACTGCAAATCCGGAGAGGAAGAACACTCTCCAGCTGGGTTATCAACCCCCATCTAGGAGTAGCACCCTTATCTGAAGCCCATGCTTTTCACAGCTGGATCAGGAAACTGTGTCCAGTCAGGCAGAAGCTTGCAAGGCATCTCAAGGCCCCATTCTGCTCAGGTCCCCGTGGCCAGCACACACTGCTACTGCCAGGCCAGCAGGGGGAGGCCTCAGAACATGGTGCTGGTCACGTCACACCATGGGCTGATCTCATGGGCTCAGGGTTGAGAGCAGACAGGCAAGAACCCCAAGTTCCATTTTACAGATAAGGTGGCAAATGCCCACATAAATTACTATACCTGTCTGAGGTTAGCAGCAGGGGTGGGTGAAAGCTGGGAGGAGCTGGAATGTGTGGAGGGGTGATCCTGAATGGAAAGCTTGGAGGTGAGGGCAGGGTGTGCGAGGACAGGCATCCTTGGGGTAGAGACGTGGGCCACAGTCAGTGAAGAAGGCTGTGTCTGCCCTCAGCCATGGTCCCTACACAGTCAGCAGGGGCAGTGTAGTCCACACCCCTTGTGATAGCTGTGCTTGCCATGGGGTGGGCTGGCCACCCCGAGGCCCAGACAGGCCTCGGGGTCAGAAAGGACAGGACGTGCTTTGTGAGAAGAAGCCACAATTTGTTTTCCTAACATGAATTCCTGGAGGTGTTGAGGTAGGGGAGTGCAGCCCCAGAAGGAAGGGCTGTGGTAGGGTGGGGTATATGGGGAAGGTAAAGTACACGCACGTGTGCACGTGCACGCGTGCATGTGTGTGTGTGTCAGAGAGAGAGAGAGAGAGAAAGAAGGACATTGGGTGGGCAGAATGGGGGCGAGGGACAACCCTAGGGGAAACATGGGAAGGCCTCCCAGAGCTCCTCAGAATTAACTACATTCACTCATTCATTATAAAGAAATACTGAACACCCGCTCTACACATTACACTGCTCTAGATCCTGGGGACATGATGTCCCTGGGTTCTTAGGGAAAGAAGAGTGAGGCAAACAAAATAAATGTTAGCAAAGCCAGTCTTGAAGACCACAAAAAAGGATGATGTGAGACAGAGAGGGTGTGTGCTTAAAACCAGTGGGAGGCCTCCGAGGCACATGTGAATGAGGAGGAGTCACTGCTCTGAAAGCTGGGGAAGGACGTTTCAGGCAGAGGGAAGTGAGCACAGGGAATGGACAGAGGCTCCTCTCCAGCTGCACACCTGACCCATCTGAGAGCCCGGACTGCCCTGGCACTCCACTTTCTGAATTCTCCGCTGCCTCTGCCTGGCTGCCTCCCTGTGGCCTTGCTGGAGCTCCATGCCCAGTCCTGGGTTGGTCTCTCCTCTTGGCTCCCGCAGGCCCTTGTCTTGCGTCTGCCACGGCACTAATCACTCAGGCTGGATGTGCCTGTTGACTTACGTGCCTTCTGCCCTGTCACCACGTGCTCTGTCTAAAACCCAGGTCTGCATACACCCCAGCACAGAGCCCTTCGATGGCTTCCCACTGCCTACAGGACCAAGCACGGCTCCTCAGCATGATGGCCACTGGCCTCTGGGCATCCTTCTGGCCCCATCTCCTGCCTGCTCCCCCGCCCCAAGCCCTGCCCCCAACATTCTTCATTACACCGCCTTCCCCACATAGTGGTCTTTACAACGTATCCACAAATTCCTTGATCCTCCTTTCTTCAAGAGATGGAGTTTATTTCCCCTACTCTTAGGCTAGGCCTGGTGACTCCCTTCTAACAAATAGAACATAACAGAAAAGATGGTAAGTGACTTCCAAGGCTAGGTCATCAAGACCTAATCTTGATGTCCACGTGGTGATAAACTCAGGTCTCTTGATAATAGTCATCAAGGAACTGAGGCTTCCTGCCAACAGCCGTGTGGGTGCACCATGGTGGAAGTGGAACCTCCAGCTATAGTCGAGCCTTCAGACAATGCAACCTCAAGAGAGACTCCAAGCCAGAATTGCCCAGCCAGCTGCTCCTGAATTCCTGGCCCACAGAAACTAAGAGATAATGAACATTTTCTGTTTGAAACTACGTTTTGAGGTAATTTCGTAACAGAGCAAGTGATAACAAATACAACCCAAATATGCCAACTGCTCTCTTTGATGCATCTGGGCCTTTGCACATGCTATTCTCCCTGCCTGTGATGTCTCTCACACTGACTTTTCTACCAAACTCCCCATCATTCTTCAGGGTCCAACAGAAATGTCATCTCCTCAGTGAAACATCCCTTAAAACCATCCCCAGTCCCCCACCTTGCTCTGCCTGACCCAGAGTTGGCCCCTGCCCTGTGACCTCACCAAACCCGCGTGTAGCTCCAACATGTTTCCTCCTACTCCACGTTTTCTCAGAGGCCTGTTGAGGCCACCCTACCTGACTTTGTGGGCAGCAGAGGGACGGCACCCAGAAAGCTTCAGGAAGGCTCTGTCAACTGGCTGGAGAGCCATCAATTAGAATTTCATTCCAGTGGGATGATAATGTTTTTTAAAGTATTTTGCACCAAATATTTAAATGTAGAAGCCCCCATCTTTTTCCTCCAAATGGTGGGAGAGCATGAGGACTCATAAATAAGAGACTTCATCTTACTCTGTCCCAACAAATTGGGCAAGGGGTCCAACCTACCTGGATCAGAGCAAGCACTTTGTCCTGTACAATGGTGGGAGGGTTGTTCTTGGGAGAGATAATTTTGACCAGAACACTGTCGATGAAATCTCGGTTGGCCACAAGGATGTGGAAGCGGTGGCCACAGTTCTTCACACATGTCTCCAGCACCTGATGTGGGGAGGGAAGGAGAGGGGTCACCCCAGTGGGAGCTGGAGAAGACACTGGGAACTGAGGAGCGCAGCTGAGTTTCCACCACCCGCTCTGTCTTGCTCCTAGATCAGCTTTCTGACACGTCTCCTCCAGAGCCAAACCTGCATGGCACACGCATTCCCACACTCCATTCTCCAGGGATGACAGCAGGCCCTTACTGACTGAAGTCTCCTGTCCCTGCACAATAATCAGGCAATTAGTTGGTAATTGAGGCACCAGTTTTGCATGAGAAGGATGCTAGTGTTTTAATGGGATCAAAATGACTGAGCGGTCCCTGAAAATTAGCATTTTAACTCCTCTCTCTGGGCCTCTGGGTATGAGGCATTAGCCAATGGGACATGGGCTCTGTCACAAGAGGAGGCTGCTATGACAGCTTGAATTGCTTCATGAGTTACTGGCCCTTATATGTGAGAAAGCAAATGCACACACACATCCCCCACTCAACCCTGCTTCTGCAACCAAAATTGGCAATGACAAAGGATTTTCCACTCTTGACAAATGGTTTATGAACCTCAGCTGCCAGGTGACTTTAATGTCCATGTTCGATTCAGACCCTGCCTGCTCCTCCCTTATCTGGGAAAACGAGTGACACAGGCTTTAGCTGCTCAGAAAAGCCAGCATACTGGTTATGGCCAGATGGTCAGTGAGGGCTCGAATCTCAGCTCTACCACTTTCTCCCTGAATGGCCCAGGACAGATCTTTCTGAGCCTCAGCATCCTCATCTGTAAAGCAGAGATGATGAGCTCTCCTTTGCAAGACAGTTGGAAAGATTAGCAAGAATACATTTAAAGCATAAGCCAGCCGTAGTGGCTCATGTCTGTAATCCCAGCACTTTCTGAGGCCGAGGTGGGCAGATCACCTGTGGTCAGGAGTTCAAGACCAGCCTGGTCAACATCGTGAAGCCCTGCCTCTACTACAAATACAAAAACTACCCAGGCTTGGTGGCACATGCCTGTAATCCCAGCTACTTGGGAGGTTGAGGCAGGAGAATCGCTTGAACCTGGGAGGCAGAGGTTGCAGTGAGCCGAAATCGTGCCATTACACTCCAGCTCAGGAAACAGAACAAAACTCTGTCTCAAAAACATACATACATACATACATAAAATAATGCACCTAGCAAAGCATCCTGTATAGGGGAGGTGCCCAATAACTGATGACCATGATTACGTGATTACATGATTACTATTCAGAAGGCTGCTGTACACACGAGGAAGAGGATGGCCTCTTATCCTCCCATAGGACAGGTGTGTAGCCTCTTGGAATTCGGAGGTACTAACTGGGAGGAGCTCTCTGAACTTCCCAGCACTCTGTAAACCAACGCATAGGATTACCTGGCCCTTCCCATGCCACCAGCCCCCAGTGCCACAGTCTGCTAACTGGGGAATGCCTCCTCAAAACAATGTCACCAGCAACAGGGAACATTTCTGACTACCTCAGTTATTTTCATTTGCTCAAACTAATCCAACCACTAGTTAACTTCTGCAGTCATCCCACAGGGCTGGGTCCAAGCAATTGGGCTTTACCTGGACAAATCACAGCTGTAAAGAAAGGTCCATAACTGGAACACTGACTGAATGCGACTATATGCCAGGCACCATGAGAGATCCTTCCATAACATATGGAATGTTATCCAATTCTCACAACTAATTACTTCTCCTTAAGTGGACCTTAATATCCCATGTTTTAGAGTTAAGCGGTTTAGAAAGATGAAGACATTGATCTAGGTACAAATTGTCAGTCAGTGCCAGAAGGAGCACAGAAGCTGTGATCAGCCTTCTCTGGAGCCCCAGTCTCCCTACCCACCTTGAGGCCACAGGGCCATCCGTCCCTCACAGCTTTCCTCCAAGCAGCCACATCAGCTGAGAGTGCCTCAGATGACAAGCAACATGTGTTAGCTTTACAGTTCCCTCATTTGGTCCTTGAAATAACCCTGTAAGGTGGGAACCATCCCATTTTAGAGATGGGGAAGCGGAGGATCAGAGGTACCATGTAACTTAACCTAGGAGGCCAAAGCTGGGAATCCCATGCCAGGCAGCTCACAGCCAGCCAGAATCGTTCCTTGCCTCGCTGCTGGCTGCACCTTAGGAGGCCCCGGGTTCCTGTGGGCTTGCCAAGGAAGACTCTGGAGGTTGGCACCCTCAGGGCCTCTGAGCAACCATAGGTTTTACTGAGCCAAGGAGGCATTTTCCTTTCTGAGTCTCTGCTTGTGCCTGATTCTGGTAACCATGAGGTAACTGGCATTCACTCTCTCGCAGTGATCCATGGGGGCACTGAGATGAACCAGAGGGGTTCTTTCTGCCTTCAAGGGCCTTACAGGCACCCTTCTCTCTAGGATTCTCTAAAACCTTCCTCCCAACTCAGGCAGTGGGGTGTTGGGGTCAAGGCAGATGGGAAGAAGTATGCTTTATTTTGTGAGAAGCAGGTGGGAAAGACGAGGCTGCAATTGTGAGTAGGAAAGAGAATTGGAAAAAGAGGCATAGGTCTGAGGAGTGGGGCAGCTTGGGGCTCCACTCCACTCTCAGAGCAGCAGTGGGCAGGAACCACGGCCTGCCTTTAGGGAAATACATGCTTAGTTTCTCCTGCACAGCAGTCCTCAAGGTCAGTGTGTTCCAGCCTGGCCTTGGAAGTGTGCTGGACAGAGATGCACGTGTCACAGAGCAGCCCCAAAGCCTATCTGAGCAGGAGATATAGGAGGTCCTCCCTGGGCTGGCAAGAGCCACTTTAGGCCACCCTGCCAAATAGGACCCTGGCAGATTTGTCCCTATGGGTTGAAAGGCATGAAACATACAGTGGTAATTTTTCAGAATGAAGCCAAAAGCCATGGAGAAAGCAAAAGGGGCCTCTAAGCAATCAGAAATGATGTTTAAGTCCACAAACGAAGACACAAGCAGAGAGTCCCTCAGGGCTTCTTACTAACTTATTTTGGGTAAATATTAACAATCTTGGTGGGTACAGATATGAAGTCAGGAAGGGGCCACAGGAAACAGGAGGACTGAAAGAGACTAACAGAGTAAGTGAAGCCCTATTAGCAGACGCGAGACCATGCAAAGTGCACTAGGATGGGGCCTCGGACGCAGCCCTGCGCATTTCACAGGCCTCCCAAAGGCATGGCTGGGTTTATAGTGAAGACCTAACCCACAGGAAAGGTCAAAGTGTCAAAGAGTGTCCATCATGCCCTGCTAGAGGAAAGCAAGTAAACGCAGAGTTCACTTTAGAAAGATTTTCATCCAACATGATTACCATGAAGTTGGGTGTGTAAATGGAGAAGTTTTAGATAGCAGTAAAATGCCCTGACATATTAGAGCTAATTCCCTGGTGATATGAGTTATTGAAAGCCATTTGTTTTGGGCATCACTCCTGGTTTAGTGAATGCTGTGGTTCAAATTCTGAGAAAATAAATAAATAAAAGCTTTAATTCCCTATTTCTCAACCAGTCTTTTCTCCTTTATTATTCAAATCCCAATTCCCTGGCAAAACTCTCTTAATAAGTTTTGGGGTTTCGCTTGGGCAAAAAATCCAAACAGGTTCTCTGCTTTAAAAGGAAACATAGTTGTTTTGGAAAAATAGCCTACTATTTCAAAGCCCCAGAGAAGTCGACCTGGTGACCTGTTACAGTTTCTATTTTAAGAACTCACTGTGGCCCAGATTTTGCCACATCTGAAAAACTGTTAGTTCTCAAGACAGAAATAACACCTGAAGTCGTCTTTAAATTCTCTGACAGCTTTGGTAAGGGCAAAAATCTGGTCTGTTCCTTTCTGAAAAACATCACTTGGCTGACTTTTTCAAGAGTCTTTGTAGCTGTTTTCAGTTTTACCCCATGCGAAAGACCACTTTACGATGGCAATCCATAGCTCGGTACCTCACCAGCTGTGAAGGCTGAGTAAACCTCCAGACCTCTCGGAGCCTCAGTTTCCTCATCTGTATGAGGGGGATAGTGAAATCTCTTTTGAATGGTGGTTGTAAACATCTTCATTAATGTCCAAAAAGCTCAGCACAGACCCAGGCAGGGGCAGGGGCAGGTACTCAATAGGTGGAACTTTTTTTTTTTAAAGACATAGGCTCGGCTGGGCGCGGTGGCTCAAGCCTGTAATCCCAGCACTTTGGGAGACGGAGACGGGCGGATCACAAGGTGAGGAGATCGAGACCATCCTGGCTAACACGGTGAAACCCCGTCTCTACTAAAAAATACAAAAAACTAGCTGGGTGAGGTGGTGGGCGCCTGTAGTCCCAGCTACTCGGGAAGCTGAGGCAGGAGAATGGCGTAAACCCGGGAGGCGGAGCTTGCAGTGAGCTGAGATCCGGCCACTGCACTCCAGCCTGGGCGACAGAGCCAGACTCCGTCTCAAAAAAAAAAAAAAAAAAAAAAAAGACATAGGCTCACTCTGTTGCCCAAGCTGGAGTGCAGTGGTGCAATCTCAGCTCACTGCAACCTCCACCTCCTGAGTTCAAGCGATTCTCCTGTCTCAGACTCCCGAGTAGGTGGGACTACAGGCATGCACCACCATGCCTGGCTAATTTTTGTAGTTTTAGTAGAGACGGAGTTTCACTATGTTGGCCAGGCTGGTCTTGAACTCCTGACCTTGTGATTGTCCTGCTTCGGCCTCCCAAAATGCTGGGATTACAGGCATGAGCCACCGTGCCTGGCCAACATTTTTATAAAGAGGAAACTGATATCTAGAGAAGGAGTTGGTCTCAGTCTCAGAGCAGGCTGGTGGCAGAAAAGGGACCCACCCAAAACCTTTAGCTCCTCTGCTCTGGCCTTCTGTACCTGACAGCACTGCACATACCTTATCTTCTGCTGGTATACATTTACCAAACTGAAGCTCACTACTCCCTGTTTCAGAGGACAGGAAAACCCAAAGGCAATACCAGAAGGCTTTGCTGGACTCCGGTGGTCCAGGCACCAAGCCATTCAGAGGTTGTGCTGAGTGGGCAGAGGGAAGGCCCTGTGAGGGGGGCAAGGCCAGGAGCAAGGAGTTCCCCAGATGACTTCCCTCCCCAAGGAGAATAGCACTCACGGTTAATGCCAGCATCACCTCTCTGTAGTTCCGATTCCCATTGAGCCGCTTCTTCAGGGCTCGAATGGCATCCTTTGGCCTGGAAAAAAGAACAGACATATAAAGATACTTACAATCTCACTTGAGGACACAATCCTACAGATATGTGAACTAGCATATATGCAAGACTATTCGCTGGCTGCAGCATGTTTGTAAATGTAAAAGACTGGGAACAAACTGAATGTCCATCAATACACTACAGGTTAAATTAAACCATTGACACAATGGAATACTATGCAGCTGCAAAAAAAGAATAAAGAAACTCATGTACCAATATGGACCAAACTCAAAGACATGTGCATAAAGTTCTTTGCATAACAGTGTACAAAGCTTGCTATTAGTTGAGTTATAGAAGGAAAGCAAACGTACATAGCACTCATGTCAGCGTAAGGAAGAGATTCTCTAGAAGGAGCTATAACAACCTGGTAACTGTGGCTGCCCCTAAGGAAAGGAACAAAAGGAGGAGGGAGGTTTTTCCCTGGACTGCCTTTTTGCGGACCTTTTGAATTCTGTATCACATACAAGTATTACTATTCGAAACCATAACTAACCCACTGGTGTGTGGGTACATAGAAGAGAGTTTTTCCAGAGAAACCATAAGAGAGATAGAGAGAGTGCCAGGTACTTATGAGCCCTGGATGCCCGGCTCTTCCTGAATTCCATGGAACTCCTTTTCCCAGAGAAAGTTTAAGTGAGTCTCCTTAAAATCCAACAAGTTTGGCCCAGCATGGTGGCTCAAGCCTGTAATCCCAGCACTTTGGGAGGCCGAGACGGGAGGATCACGAGGTCAGAAGATCGACACCATCCTGGCTAACACGGTGAAACGCCGTCTCTACTAAAACATACAAAAAACTAGCCGGGCGAGGTGGCAGGTGCCTGTAGTCCCAGCTACGTGGGAGGCTGAGGCAGGAGAATGGCATGAACCTGGGAGGCGGAGCTTGCAGTGAGCTGAGATCCGGCCACTGCACTCTAGCCTGGGTGACAAAGCAAGACCCCGTCTCAAAAAAAACAAAACAAAACAAAAAAAACACCCAACAAGTTTTGTGTTTTTAGGTGACAGATCTGAGGTGGATTCCCAGAGAAAATGTTGTAGAATTATAGACAGTACTCAGTTTACAAATGGGCCATGTCCAAAAGTTGGAGTGGAGTTGTTTGGAAGTTGGAGTGAGTTCTTCCTTAATTACTGTTATACCTTAGAGTTAGGATTCCCAGCCAGCCCTCTAAGTACACGTATTACATGTAGGTCTTGTGTCTAACATGTAATTTAATTTATTCTAACTCAGGATTCAACAAAGCTGTGGGCCTAGGAGCTGCCCCTGGCACAAAGCCCCTGTGCAGACCCATTACCCTATGCTCTGAGGAGCCCCTAGTCTGGCTGTGGGCCAGCCCTTTGCTATCACACGTGGGTTCCAGCCTTCCACTAATCTATGTGTCAATATACTGGTCTTTCCCAGCTTGAATGTTTGTAAGTCAGGGATCTCCTATTCCTACAGTTTTAAAACATTTATACTCTATTTACCAAATGAAAAGGCCCCTTCAAATGTGTATGAGGAAGTCGAGGAGGGGAAAGGGTTGACGTTCTGCTAATCAGCTTAATTTAAGAGAAACTGGGCCAGGCGCAGTGGCTCACGCCTATAATCCCAGCATTTTGGGAGGCCAACGCAGGTGGATCGCCTGAGGACAGGAGTTCGAGACCAGCCTGGCCAACATGGTGAAACTCTGCCTCTACTAAAAAATACAAAAATTAGCTGGGTGTGGTGGCAGCTGCCTGTAATCCCAGCTACTTGGGAGGCTGAGGCAGGAGAATCACTTGAACCTGGGAGACAGAGGCTGCAGTGAGCTGAGATCACACCATTGTACACCAGCCTGGTGATAAGAGCAAAACTCCATCTCCAGAAAAATTAAAAAGAGAAAGTGTGCCCAGCGCTGTGGCTCATTCCTGTAATCCCAGCACTTTGGGAGGCCGAGGTGGGTAGATCACTTGAGGTCAGTAGTTCAAGACCAGCCTGGCCAACATGGTGAAACCCTGTCTCTACTAAAAATACAAAAAAATTAGCTGGGCATGGTGGTGTGTGCCTGTAGTCCCAGCTATTTTGGAGGCAGAGGCAAGAGAATCACTTGAACCTGAGAGGTGGAGGTAGCAGTGAGCCAAGATCATGCCACTGCACTCCAGCCTGGGTGACAGAGTGAGACTCCATCTCAAAAAGAAAAAAAAAAAGAAAGAAAGTGAAAGGAGCAAGGCTTCTGAAAGAAAATTTTAAAACATCCTGAATCACCTGTTTCCCATTCCCAGCTTGACATATGGCTGCCCTGCAGGAATTCGTGGCCCCTGGGTCAAAGGGCTGATGAGACAGACACAAGGCTCCACGGGTACTGGGCCCAAGGCCAACTATGTCTGTAGTCTGGCTGCCATTTCCAAAAGGGGATGCTGATTTCTGCAAATACGGGACTTAACCGGCTCTCTGCTTTGAGGGCTGTTTGTGGCCTGAGAGCTGAAATTCCGTGGCTACTGGCCAAGAGCATGGACTGATATCCTCTCTCCAAGGCTCTGCCAAACCACCGCTGTCCCTGACCCACAGCTGCCACAACCCTCAGTCCTATCTCTCTTCTGTCCTCTTGAACTTCCATGGAACAGGAAAATAGGAAGAGCGCCTCAGGGCTGCAATCACTTCTGGCTGGCCGAGGACCAGCACACTCAGGGCTCTCCTGGTGTGGGGGCCAGGGTGGGAAATCAGACAGTCAGCAGGTTCCTGGATGAGGTTTAAAATGAAAATTCATCCACAGGCTGTGGGAAGTACTGGCTGAGCGTGATGGGTGAGCACAAAAGCAAGTATTTATCTCTCTCCCCGGGGGAGAAGCTTCAGAGAAGAGGATCAAAGTCATGTCAAAGGAATCACAAAGTTTCAAGAAGCTGCAGCAGATTAGATAGTGTGGAGTTGGAAACCAGGAGAAGAGACAGAAGCGTGTGTCAAGAGCCAAGAGGGAGCAGAAAGAAAGGATCAGGAAGAATCAGTGGCCTGTGTTGAGAAGGCACCAAGCCCTAGCAGCTTTCCGGGGAAAGGTCAGGCTCCTCATGCAGTGCTCACAGCCTTGTGATCTGGCCTCTGGGCCATGATCAGGCTCCTCAAAGTCTCCCTGGACCCTGGACTTACAAGAACTCTTCCCTGATACCCAAACAAGCCTCCCGTCATCCCTCCAGCCACAGCCTTTATATTGTCCTTCAGCTTCAGTACTACTCTCTGGAAAAGCCTTCTCCTCATCACCCCCAAGGAGGACACGGCTACCCCTCTGCCATCACCCGAAACACCCCCTCCCCATTATTATCTTGCTCTATTGTATGTCTTCAGTTTCTCCTCTGTGCCCTCTCCAGCTTAGAAGGTAGAACACAGACAAAGATTCTATGAGCTGAGGAGGGTCCAGAGATGGCCATGAAAACGACCCAGGTCAGGGGGTCCTCATGAGAGCTGCACATCCGAGTCACCTGGAGTGCAATTCCCAAATCCACAAGCTGTGCCTTCATTGGGTAGATCTGGGGTGAGGCCTGGAAAACAGAGTCTAAAACAGTCCCAGCTGGGTGCTGCGGCTCACGCCTGTAATCCCAGCACTTTGGGAGGCCAAGGCAGGCGGATTACCTGAGGTCAGGAGTTCAAGACCAGCCTGGCCAACATGGTGAAACCCTGTCTCTACTAAAAATACAAAATTAGCCGGGCGTGGTGGTGCATACCTGTAATCCCAGCTACTCAGGAGGCTGAGGCAGGAGAATTGCTTAAGTCTGGGAGGCAGTGGCTGTGGTGAGCTGAGATCGCACCATTGCACTCCAGCCTGGGCAACAAGAGCAAAACTCCATCTCAAAAATAAATAAATAAAAAGAGTCCTAGGTAGGTTATTCAGTCAGCCACTCCTGGTTAATGCCTGAAGGACTGTCATACAAGGCCTTAGGCATCAGCATTCCTTAGGCCGATGGTGACTTCAGCTCTGGACATTAGGGAAAGCCCAGGGAGAGGCCTTTGGGGCAGTTTACCAATCTGCACCCACCAGGACCACAGCCTCCCATTGGTAAAGCATTGTATAAATACAAGAAGTACAGGCAGCACTTCAGTGGCTGTAGCCAGGTGACCCTGTGCTTGCATCCTGCATGTGCCCTTCCCAGTTGTGCTGCAAGGCCTTTGGCAAGTGACCAAACTACTCAGCCTCAGTTTCCTTAACACTGAAACAGGCTGTCACTACCATATAGAACTGTTGGGGGTAGGGGGCGCTGCTTGTGATGAGGCACTGCAGGGCTGGACACAGGGCCTGGCACATGGCAAGTGCTCAGAGATGGCAGAGAGGGTAAGGGCAGTGAATCCACAGAGAGCCTCACCAAGACTGGGCAGATAACTGACACCCAAATGAAAGTGATGACAAAAGTCAAGGGCAATGGAAATCTTTAAAGGGAAATAGTAAATCCATATATATAGTATGGATATGAAGATACAGTTATGTAGCCAGATACTTCATGTATATTTAGTCCTTTAATTCTCATAACAACCCTATGAGATAGGTATTATTGGCAACCCCATTTTATAAATGAGGAAATGGGACACAGACACAGGGAGATGAAGTAACTCACACAGGATCGCACAATAAGCGAGTGGTGACCTAGGACTGCTCCAGGCTGGGGTGTCCACCTTCCTCCCCTTTATCCACCTGCCTCATCTGGCTGATACCCTGGCACTCTGTAAGACTCCAGTCTGGTGTCACTTCCTCCAAGAAGGCTTTGCTGCCAAAAGTCCCAAGGCTGATCATTGCCACTGCACTAGTGTCCGTAGCTATACATAGCTTTTCTCTCTCTCCCTGCCCCCCACCCAGCACTTGTTATGCTGTGTTATGCTTATGTTTATATGCCTGCATTCCTCATCAGACTGTGAGTGCCTTAGAGACTTCATTCATTTATTCACTTATTTAACAAATATTTATTAACAGCTAATCAAATGCATTGTGCTAGGTGCTAGGGACAAAATGGTGAGTAAAACAGATGGAAATCCTGTCTTCATGGAGCTCACAGCCTTGTGGGGGTTGCAGGGCAAGACAGACACTAACAACCGTCCCACAGATCTATAAGTTTAAACTGTGATGAGCATCAGTACAACACAGGTTATGAAATCATATAACAGAGGACTTGTCCAAATCAGGAGGGAAGGGGGTTAGGGAAATGAGATTCAAACTGAGAGATCCAGTGAATGACGGGCTCTACTTAGTGAGAGAGATGACGAGAACAGAAGGGACGGCAGGTCAGAGGCCCTTCAGGGAGGGCGCAAAGGGGTGGGTGGGGCGCCCTACTGTCAGTCCAACTTGTGGGAGTTTCTTCCACTCAGGAAGAGATTTTTTTTTTAAGATATGGGGTCTCACCACATTTCCTAGGCTGGTCTCAAACATCTGGGCTCAAGCAATCCTCCCGCCTCAACCTCCTGAATAGCTGGGACTACAGGCATGAGCCACTGCACCTGGCTAGGAAGAGATTTTGGAACACCTCACAGCAGAAGCAAGGAGAAAACATTCTCAGGAATCACTGAGGTGCTCTCAGTCAAAAAGGTAGCAACAGGAGATTTAGCCACTTGAAGAGGAAGATGTGTGTGACCAACCTTCTGGGAACTGAGGATTTGAAAAAGAAGGCATGGCCCCTTCAGAATGAGGAAGCTCCTGGGCTTCCTGGGCTTCCTGCCCTCAATCCATAGAGATATTTGAGCAATTCACTGGAAGATAAGAGTTGCCAACCTATTTGTATATTGCTCAAATCTGTAGAGAATTTCAAGCTGCGCCCAGGAATGTGGAAAATTCAAGGAGCTGAAAGATCAGCAGGGTTGAAGAGCTCAAAGCGGAGCTGCCGAGGGGTCTGGGGCTCCTCAGGAGGGTATTGGTTAGGGTTTTTACCCTAAGTGTCTGTGAAGGCTCTGAAGGCTTGTTAGCAAGGGATCAACTTGCTGGTTCAGCAGCAGGAAGGGACAGGAGGGAAGGGGCCGAAGCAGAGGTCCACCTCTAGGGTAAAGCGCAGACACCAGAGAATGCGGCACCTGACCCTGACTACCTTTCCAGCTGGATTCCAGACCCTCCTGCTCCCCCAACATCACCCTGTCTACCCTAGACCACTTGTATCCCTTGACACACTGGCCCTTTTGACATCACCCTTGGCTACAGGACACATTTCTCCTGCCATCCTGGAAGACAGTCCCTCCACGAGGCATTTGTACCCACCTTTCCCTCTGGGACCATGGTATCAGGGACAGGCCTTGGCCACAGCCCTTCCCAGTCCCTCCAGGTGAGCCTTCAAGGGCAGGCTGGAACATTCACCTTGGCATCCTGCAGCTGCTATACCTCCGCCGCTGGGGGTCAGTAAACATGGCCGGATGACTGGACAAACAAGTGAATGAGTGGTGTGTGAGGAGGACGTGAGGAAGGTAGCCACTCTGAGCCCGGTGATGATGGCATTAGAGATGTGTAGTCCCTAACAACTATTTGTGAGTCACATCTGTGTGCCAGGTACCAAGTTGATCACCTATATTTAGCTGGTGAAAATATGCCACCTTTCACCAAAGACTCCCACGTTTTCATCCAGTGCAGGCCACTGCCCCCAACTCGAGTCCCCCGTGCGGTTCCCTGTCACATCTTCCAGGAGCTCGGCTGGCAGCACAGATCTACTCCTGATCTCTGCTCCCCAGCCTGTTCCACCTCAGGAAACAGCAGCTCCATCCCATGGCTGTTCAGGCCCTGAACCTTGCAATTTCCCTTGACTCTTCATTCCTTTCCCATGTCTGCCAATTTCATTGGTTCTACCTTCTAACACATTCAGAATCCCATTACTTCTAACCATCATCTCACACCAGTATTACTGTGATAACCTCCTCACTGGGTTTTCTTTCTTCTTTTCTTTTTCTTTTTAGAGACAGAGTCTTACTCTGTCCCCCAGACTAGAATGCAGTGACACCATCCTAGTTCATCACAGCTTTGAACTCCTAGGTGTAAGCAATCTTCCTGCCTCAGCCTCGTGCAGTGCTGGGATTACAGGTGCATGCCACTATGCCAGGCCGTCGCTGGGTTTTCTGCATCTGTCCTTGGCCTGCCCCCAGCCAGACCACTCTGAACAAACAGATTGTCCTCTTTCCAACAAGACTGGGACCATACCCCTCCTCTGCTTGAATCTCCAAAAAGGTTGAAGCCAGAGTCGCTCTGGTTCTACATGGCCCTGCATTATCTGGATCCCCAATATGTCACTAACTTCTTCTCCAGGTACCCTCTTCTTTGACCACTCCACTCCGGGCCCATTAGCCACCTTGCTATTTCTCAAACACATCAGACACCCCCCCGTCCCAGGACTTCTGGGTTTGCTGTTCCACGAACCTTGACAGTTCTTCCCTTGTATAATCCTCACCCCCTACACCCTCATCTCCTTTAAGTCTTTGTTCAATATCACCTTCTAAATGAGACTTTTCTGTTGTTTTGTCTTTTCTTTTTGAGACAGGGTTTTTCTCTGTCACCAAAACTGGAGTGCAGTGGCATGCTCATGGCTCACTGCAGCCTCGACCTCCTGGGCTCAAGTGATCCTCCCATCTCAGCCTCCCAAGTAGCTGGGACTACAGGTATGCACCACCAGGCCTGGCTAACTTTTGTATTTTTTGTAAATACAAGATTCAACCGTGTTCCCCAGGCTGGTCTCGAATTCCTAGGCTCAAGCGACTAGCCCACCTTGGCCTCCCAAAGTGCTAGGATTACAGATGTGAGCCACCCAACCCAGCCAAGACTTTTCTGGATCACTCTATTTAAAATTGCTAATTCCTAGCCTCCTCTCTCCCCATCTCCCTTCCACAGTCTTGTCCTCATCTGACCAGGTTATATGTTTAATTATCTTGTTTATGGCCTGCCTCCCTACTACTCTAGAATGGTAGCTCCCCAAGGGGAAGGAATCTATCTTGTTCACTGCTGTGTCCTCAGTATTTACAATAGGCCTGGCACAAGGTAGTCATTTGAGAAATATTTGCTGCATGAAAACAGGACCAAGCTTGAGAGGCTGGTCCCCAGTTCACACATGGCAAGGCTAGAGTGACAGTGCTGCGATGCCAGCCCAGGGATGCCTGAGTCCCAACTGCTCTCCTTGCCACTCTGAAAATGGTTTAAGAGGGCATGGCTATAGTAAAGTAAGCGTTAGTTGTATGGACAGAGGGCTAAATACAGACCAATTTGGAGGAAGTACAAATCGAGTGCAGCTATAAAACAAAAGAAGAGGATACAGGAAATAACAACGGGAATGGATCCAGCAGTGCAGGAATGCAGGAGGGGCAACGTGGCCTAAGTCCACTCATGCCGCTTTCCCACTCCCGGCTGTGTCCGCTCCATGCCCTGGACCTCCCTCCATGGACACTGTGGTGCTCTCTGACTCCCGGCAAACCAGGGCAGAGATAGGCTGTGAAGGAGAGGCAGAGGCCAGGAAGGAGGGGAGGGAAGAGGTGACACTTGGGCTGCAGAGACTAATGGCCACTGGGAACCAAGTAATCAAGCAGCTTCATTTCTACTTGTGATTAAAAGCAGGTGATTAAAAGAGGTGTCTCTGTTCTACCTCCAGCACTGCCACTGGGCAAGTGGGGGAGGGATGAAGACAAAAAGGACAGATAATTCAGAGTGTCAGCTTATTCAATGCCAAACCAAACAGACTAAAACACAAAACAAAAAATAAAATCTGCCACCCTCAGGCCCTGACAAGCTTTGAGTGGCCCCTAAAAGCTGAGAGAGGCTTCCCAGGAGAGGGGGGCACACGTACCCTTCCTCCGTCTCATTGATGATGTCACAGATCTCCATATTCAATGTCCAATCCTCACTTTGCAGGGAGCCATCTGTTGCCTTTTCTGTGAAATCAGAGAGAAAATGGGTTTACATTTCTCCTGGAATAAGTGGGTCTCGGCAGGAAATGGGAAGAGACCAGAACCACCACATTCTCATCCCAAGCAGATGGGCTGAGCCAACAGAGCCATTCTAGGGGTGCTATTATCACAAGAGAACACCCGGGAAAGGTCCTGGCCTGAAGGCTGGAGTTTATTTATTTATTTATTTTTTTTTTTTTGAGACGGAGTCTGGCTCTGTCACCCAGGCTGGAGTGCAGTGGCGCGATCTCAGCTCACTGCAAGCTCCGCCTCCCGGGTTTACGCCATTCTCCTGCCTCAGCCTCCCGAGTAGCTGGGACTACAGGCGCCCGCCACCTCACCCGGCTAGTTTTTTTTTTGTATTTTTTTAGTAGAGACGGGGTTTCACCGTGTTAGCCAGGATGGTCTCGATCTCCTGACCTCGTGATCCACCCGTCTCGGCCTCCCAAAGTGCTGGGATTACAGGCTTGAGCCACCGCGCCCGGCCAAGGCTGGAGTTTATAACTAGGTTCTTCATTCACCAAACTCTAGACTGAAAAGCTTATGACAGGCCTAAGCCATCAAAAATCACCCCAAACATGAGGATATTAGGTTTATGAACCCACAGAGTCTGGAGCCAAACTACCTACCAAACTAGGTTCAAATACAGGCTCTACTGCTTACTAGTTGTGTGGTCTTGGGTAAGTTACTTAACTTCTAGGTGCCAAAGCTAGTGAAAACAACAGTACTTACCTGATATGTGTTATGAAAATTAAATGGGTTGATATACATGAAACACTTAGAACAGAGCCTGGCACACAGTGCTATACAGGTATTTGCTATTGGGATTATTAAAAATCAACTGCTGTAGTAAAAAACTACACTTCAGATAAGGGGGAGAAAGAAAGGACCATCAGTTATTAAGCCACTGTAGGCATGGTGTTAGGTGCTTCATGTACATTATTTTCTCTCATCCACAAAATGACTTTCTGACCATTCAGTGAGGAAAGGACAGTATTTTCAACAAATGGTGCTGTGAAAATTGGATTGCCACATGCAAAAGAATGAACTTGGACCCTTTATCTTATAACATATACAAAAATTTACTCCAAATGGATCAAAGACATAAATGTAAGAGCTCAAACTAAAAAACGCCTAAAAGAAAACATAGTGAAAAAGCTTCGTGACACTAGATTCGGCAATCATCTCACGGATATGACACCAAAAGCAGAGGCAACAAAAGAAACATTTTGAACTACATCAAAATAAAAACTTCTAGGCATCAAAGGACACAACAGAGTGAAAAGGCAACCTGCAGAGGAAGAAAATATTTGCAAAATTATATATATGATAAGGGGTTAATATCCAGAAGATGTAAGTAACTCCTATAACTTAACAACAAAAAACCCCAAACTATGCAATTACAAAATGGGAAAGGACTTGAATGATATTTCTCCAAAGAAGATATACCAATGGCTAACAGGTATATGAAAAGAGGTTCAACATCACTAAGCATTAGGGAAGTGCAAGTCAAAACCACAATGAAACATCACCTCACACACATTAGGATGGCTCCTATCAAAAAAGTAGAAAATAACAAGTGTTGGCAAGGATATAGACAAATTGGAACCCTTTTACGCTTTTGATGGGAATGTAAAATGGTACAGCTGCTATGGAAAACAGGATGGTAGTTAAAACATAGAATTACCCGGCAAGGCGCAGTGGCTCATGCCTGTAATCCCAGCACTTTGGGAGACCGAGACGGATGGATCACCAGGTCAGAAGATCGAGACCATCCTGGCTAACATGGTGAAACCTAGTCTCTACTAAAAAAAGTATAAAAAGTTAGCCGGGTTTGGTGGCAGGCACCTGTAGTCCCAGCTACTCAGGAGGCTGAGGCAGGAGAATGGCATGAACCTGGGAGGCGGAGCTTGCAGTGAGCCGAGATCGCACCACTGCACTCCAGCCTGGGCGACAGAGCGAGACTCCATCTCAAAAACAAAACAAACAAACAAACAAAACACAGAATTACCCTATGATCTAGCAATTTCACTTCTGAGTATATACCCAAAAGAACTGAAAGCAGGGCCTTGAGGAGATATTTGCAGAGTCATGTTCATAGCAGCAATAGTCACAACAGTCAAAAGATTTGTAAACAGCCTGTGTCCATCAACTAATGAATGGATAACCCAAATGGATATACATAAAATGGAATATTATTCAGCCATAAAAAAGGAAGGAAATCCTATTGCATGCACAATATGGCTGAACCTTGAAGGCCTTGTGCTAAGTGAAATAAGCCATTCACCAAGACAAACACGAGATGATTCCACTTACATCAGGTACCTAAAATAGTCAGATTTAAAGACAGAAAGCAGAATGGTGGTTGCCAGAGGCTGTTGGGGGGTGCGGGGGAATGGGGAGTTATTATTTAATGAACACAGAATTTCAGTTTGGGGAAAATGAAAGAGTTCTGGACATGGGTGTGGATGGTTGCACACAATGTGAACATACCTAATGCCACTGAACTGTACACTTTAAAATGGTTAAAATGGGCCAGGCAAGATGGCTCACACCTGTAATCTCAGAACTTTGGGAGGCTGAGGCAGGAGGGTTACTTGAATCCAGGGTTTGAGAACAGCCTGGGCAACACAGCAAGACATTGTTTCTACAAAAAATTTAAAAATTAGCTGGGTATACTGGCTTGTACCTGTGGTCCTAACTACTAATGAGGCTGAGGCAGGAAGATTGCTTAAGTCCAGGAGTTTGAGGCTGCAGTGAGATATGACTGAGCCACTGCATTCCAGCCTGGGTGACAGAGTAAGACTCTGTCTCTTAAAATACTTTTTGTTTAATGGTTAAAATGATAAATTTAATGTTACATATATTTTTAAAACCACCACCAAAAAAGACAGAAAAATTACACACAGGTCAATGGACTGTTACGTAAGGGAGTAGCAGGGTGGGGATCAGAGATTATTTGGGTCTGCAGTCTCCTTTGACAGGAAACCTGGGGCCTGCAGAAGCAAAGGGAAAGGTCCCGGAGCTCAGGATCCTCAGTGGTAGAGCCAGGACCAGAGCCAGGGTCACTTGACTCCCTTACCCCTCTGGGCTGTGAGCTCCGGGAGGGCAGGGACTAGGTCTGTCTTGCCTTCCACTGGGTCCAAGTGCCCAGCACTTGGCAGCAGTGCAATGCATTTACATCAGATGAATGACCGCATTCGCATCCCTTCCTCTACGCTGTGGATTTCAGCCCTGGCTGCACATGAGAACCACCTGGGGAGCTTCTAGAGCACACCAATACCTGAGCCTCATGACCCAGAGGTTCTACTTTGAATGGTATGGGGTGGGATTCAGGGATGATGATGATGATGATGATGACTATTATTATTATTTGAGACAGAGTCTCGCTCCATTGCGCAGGCTGGAGTGCAGTGGCATGATCTCGGCTCACTGCAACATTTGCCTCCTGGGTTCAAGCAATTCTCCTGTCTCAGCCTCCTCAGTAGCTGGGATTACAGGCATGTGCCACCATGCTTCACTAATTTTTGTATTTTTAGTAGAGATGGGTTTCGGCATGTTGGCCAGACTGGTCTCGAACTCCTGACCTCAGGTGATCCACCAGCCTCAGTCTCCCAAAGTGCTGGGATTACAGGCACGAGCCACTGTGCCCAGCCCCCAACACTCTTGATGGTTGGGGAGGTAGATCATTTGGCTGTTTTCTCCTCCACTCTCACCGAAAGGATGTTGCTGAATGCAAAATGCTAAAACCAGTCCTCTTTTGCCTTCTGGTGTTGGCAGCTTCTGAAGTCACTATATTTAACATCAAAGTGCAGAAAGCGGCAGCCAAAAAGCCAAGCCGCTGGATTGCGAGGCTCCTCCAAACAGGGCTGCCTTGGGTTTCAGAGAGCATGCGAGGGTGGGTGGGCAGAAAAACCATGCTCAGAGCCAGCACTATCACTGCTGTCAGCGTCAAGGCTTCAGGGCATCCTGGCCTGGGTCCTACCCCAGGCGAGAGAAAATGCCATGGCAACGGCATCAGGATGCTATGCTGCTCTCGCACTGAAGATTTAATGGGAGCCGTATCTGATTACCCGAGCTCAGGCCTGCCCTGCCCTGTCCAGTCCAGCCCAGCCTGGCCCGCCCTACCCAGCCTCTTTCCCAGCCCAGTCCTTGGCCATTAGCATATCACCAGAGAGGTCAGCACTTCACAATTATCCGTCCAGAGGGCTGGCTGGTGGGAACGACTTGCCCCACTGCTCCCTAGAGCACTCTGTTTCTGCTGTTGCACCAGGTTTTATTTTAGGTTTTGACGATTTAGGTGACAAAATAAATGAGACTGAACTTTGCTTTCCTCTGGCCTGGGGACAGGACTGAGTGAGGGAGCCCACATTGAGTGGCCTTAGTTCCAGAGGCAATCAGATCCAACTTTGCTCTTGATTAGCTGGAAATTATTTTATGAAGAGAAAAATCAGAACTGATTTGAGCTCCTCTGTCAGCCTTACTTCCCTCATCTGTTTCAGTAGAGCTAAATACCCATGGTTGTGTTTGTGTGGCATTTTCTGCAAAATGAAAAGAAAGAAGCATTCTTTTTGGGTTGGTTCTTTATAATCAAAATGAGTATATATCTTTCAGCTTGAAAACTCGCATCCCAGTAATTGAATAGAATGCGCTGACCCTGAGGATAAGTTATCATGCCTTTGAACCCTTCCCCAGTATCATAAGAGGAAAGGAGAGGGTGAATATAAGGTTAATGGATTCTGCTGCTAAACCGAACTTGGAAATGAGGTTTCATTGATTTAATATTTCCTCTATTAAGCCTCCCAAGACTGTATCCCTTGTGGCCCTACCAAAGTGCAATCTCCGTACTTTCTTCTCCATGAGAGTCTGTGCCACAGCTTGAGTTCTGTGAAGGGGAGAGACGACTACCCCCTGGCCAGCTGTCCTCTCCCATTCCTGGCTCAAAAGAGCAGCAAGCCCAGGCCTGCAGGCAGAGCTGCTTCCAT